TCAAAAGTTTAAGTTCTCAGGCTAGTTAAAACAAGAATAGAATTGTTTCCTCAGGCCTCAACCTACTTGATTTTAGTAATTTAGTGTCTTGACAATTGCGACTCCATTTTATTTCTTCATGTTATTTCTCAGTGGCAGGGGAGAAAGCCCAGCTTCTGAGCCCAGTGTGGGCTCACATTCTCTGGGCCTTCATTTCTGACTTAATATTTGTTTGTGACTGTGCCCAGAAGAGCCTCCTGGGGGTAAGAGGTGCTTTTCTCTTGCCAACTCACCCACCTCACATCCCTCCCCTCATCAGTTGCCAAGAAAATCAGTGAGACCAAACCGGCATATGAACCCTTCACCCACATCTTATTCCTAGTTTGTTATTTTCTTCTATCTCTTCAATTCCTCCCACTGAGAGATGGAAGGGGATAGAATAGCTGGGGGCCAAATAAAGGAAAAAAGCCAGAATTCACTGAGTACCTACTATGCCACGTGCTGTGCTAAGTGCCCTGAGGTAGCTTGTGTCTTCTCTTGTGTTCCCGTAGGTGATGGGCATTCTTATCTCCACCTGATAGATGAGGTTCAGTGACTGGTTCAGGTGGCACAGGTTCAGGCAAGGGTTGGCTGGAGGGCCCCCAGAGGGTGATTTGGACTCCAGATGCTTGAATGTCTGGAAGTCCCTTGGCTATGATTTAGGTGTCAGAGAATATGACTCCTCCCCGTCCTCCCTCCCAGGCAACAGCCGGAAATCTCACCTGAGCACCTGAGCTGCAGGACTTCCCCTCTGGTTTGGAATTCCCTGAGTTGGAAATTCCCATGTCCCTGAGGGAAAGGTAATTAGGTTCAGGCTTCAGTTTCCTGGGGGCGGGGCATATCTGGCTTAAGCTTTGTTTTATGTAGGGTTTTCCTGAGCCCCACTGTCCAGGCAGTTAAGACTGGGTTCAAGGATCTTAAGCCTGGTGGAAGAGGACTTCAGGGAGCAGCCTCCCACCCCCAATGAAGAGTGAATTCCAAGAAAGAGACCATGTTTCTTTTCTAAGCACACTTTATTTCTCGCCACTGACCAGTAGGGCGATTACAGACACAACTCCCCTGGGGAGCAGAGGTTCTGTGATGTAGCGACAGTTAGTCACCAAATCAGCATTGTTTAGACACCTTGATCAGATAAATACTTTTTCAAAACACAAGCAGAAGGAGGCACAGAGGCTGAGAGGCCAGGTGGCAACAGCCTAAAGTTCAGCTCCGTTTTCACAGAAAACATGTCTGAGCCAAGGCAACCCCTGCACTGGGTCTCCCAGGACACCCAGCATCCCGAATAAATAACTTTCATCAGTAAATAAATAAATAATAAATAAATAATAAATAATCACAAGTGCAAACATAAATAGAAGGAGCTGGCTCCACAGGAGAAGGGGCTGGGCTTTCCATCTCAGGGAAGCTTCTGGAAACATTTGAGGCCATGGAGGCCTGAGGTCCACTTATGTCAATTTGTAGGTAAGCTCTCAAGGGATGTTCTGAAGTGTTCTGGCTCCACATTCCAGGTGACCTAGGTTGGATTCATAGATCCAAACCTGAGGCCCCCATTGCATTCTGGAAGCCCTCGTTCGAACGCTGGGTGGTGGCCAGTGCCCCATTGTCCAGGCAGCACATTCGTGCATCCTAGGTTTCTAAGTGTTTAAAGTTCTAAGCTCGGGCTGGCCTTGAGCCACTAATTCCCTTTTCAAACCAGAAGGGATGAAGAGGTTGGAAGGAAAGGTTGATAAAGAGATTAAGATGGACTGGGATGGACATCCTGCTCCCTCACAGGGCAATGAGCCCAAAGTAGACCTGCCCAGATTCAGCAAAGTCGAGATAGTCGGGCAGGTTGACCTCGGCGCTGAGTTGATCATCTTTCTCCAGCTGGAAGACCCCTCCCAGGTAGATGGGTTCATACCAGGGCTTGGCGTCAGTCCCCTCCGGGGTCTCCCGTTGGCAAGGGCTCTTGATGGCAGAGAGGAGGTTGACCTTTTGGGGGTAGGAGGCGGAAAAGCGGCTGATGGTGTGGGTAAGGAGCAAATGGGTGGGAGGGCAGCCTTGGCCCTTGAAGAGGACCTGGGAGTAGATGAGGTATAGCCCGTCCGAGGGCACAACCAGCTGGTTTTTTGTCAGTTGCACACCATTGGCCAGGAGAGCATTGGCCACCTGATTCTTCCACTGCAGCTGCCCCACAGCTTGCTGATTTGCTGGAGGGAGGGAGAGAAAGAGGGAGAGGTGAGTCAGTGTGAACCTGTCAGTTCCACTCTCCACATCCTGGCCCTCAAGTTCTGCCCACCCCCCACATCCTGTGTCTGTCCCCTCTCTCTGTCTTCCCATATCCCATCAGGCCATGAGGTTCTGACTATACCCTGCAAGGCCTATGGTGTTTCTTCACCCTCCCCTTGAATTCAGTAAGTTCTTCTCATACTGTCTCCAAGGTCTGTCTACCTTCAGCTTGGGTTCAGCCCCCAAACCCTATTCTTCCTCAGCCCACCTGCTTCTTCATTCCCTAGACATGTCCTCAGAACTCTTACCTACAACGTGGGCAACAGGCTTGTCACTTGGGGTTCGGGAAGATAATCCTGAAGAGGAAAGAAGAAAAGATGAGATTCTTAAGCTTCCAAAAAAAAAAAAAATACCCTGTTACTTTGACCTCCATTCCTCATCTCCCCAAGCCCCAAGTCTAAATTCCCCCACTGCTACCATCCTAGGACTAACCCCCAACTCTACCCAAACCCAGAAGTAGGAGAGGGGATTTGGAGACACTTACCAAGGGTCTGAGCCAGTGAAGGGCCAATTAGGAACTGCTGGGGAGAAGGAGGAGGATTAGAATCAGAGCAAGTCATTTCTAGATAGAAACAGCTGGCTACTTATCTAGTGGGTGTCTCCGTCTGATGTGTCTACTTTTCTCTCTTCGTTTGTCTATTCACTCATCCAACAATCTTTTGTTGAGTGCCTTCCACATGCCAGACATTCTGTCTTCATCTTTCCTTATCTCTCCTTCCCTCACCACTCTTTCATATCTCCCTTATCTCTTTATTCATATCACTTGTTTTCTTCCTATCTCTCTACCCACACCCCACATCTTTCTACATATCTCTCTTTATATATGTTTATCTCTTGCTCATTCATTCATTCAACAAATGTTTAGTTAGCACCTTCCAGGTGACGGATATTCTATCTCTCCATCTTTCTGTCTTCCCTGATCTCTCTCCATTTCTCTTTCTGCCTTCCCATCTTTCTCCAGTGTTCTCTCACCCTCCGTCTCCCCCATTTTTCTCGGGGTGGGAGAAGGAGCCCAGGCTGGTGAGGCACTCACCTCTTCCCTCTGGGGGCCGATCACCCCGAAGTGCAAGAGGCAGAAGAGTGTGGTGGCTCCTGCCACAAGGAGGAAGGAGAAGAGGCTGAGGCACAAGCACCGTCTGGAGCCCTGGGGACCCCTTGCCTTCTTGGGGAGCACCTCCTCAGCCAGTTCCACGTCCCGGATCATGCTTTCAGTGCTCATGATGTCCTTTCCAGAAGGGCTCACGTCTAGCTGGGAAATGGTGTCGGAGGGAGAGAGTCACCTGGCTGCTTCTCTGGGAGCTGTGTCGTCTGAGAGATTACTTCCAGGGGGTCTGGAGTTGCTTCTCTCTCTCTTGGCTGGTCCCCTGTTGTCCTCACTGAGGGAGCTTCTGCTGGCAGGCTGTACAAACAGCTGCCTTTATACGCCTGAGGAGAAGAGGGCGGGGAAAGGCTCTCATTCAACCAGCGGAAAACTTCCTTTGTGGAGAAACCCATGAGCTCATCTGGAGGAAGCGGTAGTGGGCCCTACATCTTCTGTCTCGGTTTCTTCTCCATTGCGGGGGTGGGGATTTGGAAAGTTGGGGACACCCAGGCATCAGGGATACTCCCCACCCTCCCCACTTGGATTCTGAGAGGGGCTCGTTGGCCCCCTACCGCTGTGACTGTAGGACCTTGTAGGCTGAACCCTGTCCCCCTCTGACCTAATTCCCATTGATTTCATTCCTTTTGGGGACCAGGGCTGTGGCCTGTGTCCCTCTGATTTTCAGAGAGGACTCACATAGGGACAGAACTAGGAATGGAAGGGGCTTCAGAAAGCCGAGTCCTTGATAGTGAGAAAAAGGGGGGAAGCTGTGCTGGGTCCTGAGACATGAGTTTGGATCCCTGAAGTCAGAAAGAGCTGAGGGAAGGGAGGTGGGGGTGTGGATGGGGCCTCTGGGAGGGCTTGGGGGCAGGTTGCAGGGACAGTCCTGGGACAGCCCCAGAGGGAATGAAGGCAACCCTGGGAATTCACAAACTCCACCAGGGCAGGCCTTCTTTCATTCTGATCAGGGACTCACGGTGCTGATTTCGGTCTTGGCTTCCGGAAGAACCCGAGGCCGATTTTTGCCTGAAGGCCCCATCCCTCAGAACCCCGACGTATAGCTATGTATCCCCAAAGACCTCCTGCTCTCTTCAGATTCCTGGAGACAGCCCTAGACCTCAGCCCCCCTGTGTGTGACCATATCCCCTCACATGTCATTTGTATTTCCCAGGCCCCTAGCCTTGGAGGCTTTCCAACGCCTCAGGGCCCTTGCGTGGCCGTGTCTTCCAGGGGGTCCCCACGCTCCATCCCCACGGTCCTTGAAGACCCTTTTGTGAAGTCACTTCTCTCCAGAGGCTTCCTATAACCCCTGTTCCTCACAGCCTTGCTATGTGGCCATATCTGCTAGGGTTCCTCTGACTTGCATTCCTCCAGACCTTGAACTCCATTTTTTGGTCTTCTCAGCTTATCCTTTGGTTTCCCTGCAGGGCCTGGCTGCCTTGCACCGGCCCACTCCCCATCTGTGCACCAGCCGCAGGACCCCTTGGGCCCCTGTATCTCTTTGTATGTCCCCAGCTCCTATGCCCTCTGAGGCTTCTGTCCTCTTTTCATCCCTTAGAGAGACCTGAGCAATTCTTTTTTCCCAGACAGACACAGGCAGATAGCATTTCAGAGAAAAAAAGATTTATTGGGCTTGATCGAGGCTGCAGACATTGTCTCATGGGGTGTCTAGTCAAGCAGTGCTGGCCCTTCAGAACCCTCATGTTCTTCTAGAGCCCCTCAGCCCCTCAACTACTCATGTTCTCTCTTGGTCTTTCTTGTGCAGTGCCTCTCAGCTTCATATCTGGGACATATTTATCTCTTTCTCTTCTGATGTCCCTCTATTATTACCTTCTCTCCATTCTCCATAAATAAATAACTTAATTTTTTCTCCTCATAAATAGTCCCCTCTCCCTGCCTCCAGACATCCACCCAAGCTCCCAACATGTCTGCTCCCCTGCACGCCCAGGGCTAAGCCTTTGCACTGGCAGCACAGAGCAGAGCTCGGAGTGGGAATCTCTAGGCAGGCTTAAGTCCTCAGCCGAGCACTGAGCACTGAGCAGAGCACTGGGGTGATTCAAGGAGGAGGGAGTCCTGAGGTGCCGAGATTCCTTCGTCGGAAGCTCCAGGTCATGTGAGCTGGGAAGACTGGAGACTGTTGGAATAGTCCAAGGAGAGGTGTCGCAACCCTTGAAATAATCAGGATGGAGGCGAGATGGGGAGAAGGCCTTGAAACCAGTTTTTTCTTTCTAGATTTTTCTACAGAGCGAAGGCTCCAAAGAAGACACTACTGGGACTGAGGAGTAGGTGGGAGACGCCGTCTGTGTGAGTGGAGAGCTGGTCCCCTTGGGTGAGCAGGAACACTGCCCCCTGGTACACTGAACGTACCCAAGGTCCCTGTGGCCCTGGGCACACAGACTTCTGAGCACTGAGGAGAGATACGTGGAAGGGGTACTGGGAGGAGAAGAGCTGGACTTCATGGGTCAGGTAGAGAGGGGTGGGGGTGGCCTTGGGGAAGCAGCCTTCCCCGGAGAAGACCACCTGGGAATAGACAAAGTAGAGGCCACTGGTGGGGACCAGGAGTGAATTGTTGCTCAAAGAGAAGCCGTGGCGGAGGAAGGCACGATCTGTGTTCGCTCTCCAGCGCAGTGAGTTCTGGGTGCTTGGATCTCCTAGGAAGAGCCACAGGCACATGTGTTTGGGGGTGGGTCAAGGACCTGGGGGTCAGAGGTCTTAATCCCCAAAAAAGCAGATGCTGGACTGAATTCCTGAAGGATGGCTGGGAGGACAGAAAGGAGTAGGAGCCTCTGTTTTGGGGGGTGGGGAAAGTTGGGAAAAGGTGGGGTGGATAGATAATTGGGTCCCTGAAGGAGGTTAGAAGGGGGCCGAGGGGTACATGTCTGGGAGGGCAAGAGGATGTTTACCAACAAGGTGAGCAGCAGGTTTGAGGGTGCCTTGTGCGAAGTGCTTCTGGGAGTGATAATGGGCAGTCCGTGCAGCTGAGAGGCCAACATCAGGGAGCCCCTAGGGGGAGAACAGAGTTTGCTGGGCTCTAGGGCCCAAAGTTCAGCTGGGATACCCCTGCGACCTCCTTCTCCTGCTGCCTCACCTGGGCCTCAGGCAGCAGGGCCAGCAGTAGCCCCAGAAGGAGGAGGAGGAGGAGGTGGGCACCACGCACCCTCAGGAGGTAGAGATGTCCCAATGGTGTCATGAGGAGAACCTGCAGGGAGAGAGACAGTGATTGGCTTGGGGCGGGGTGCTGCATAAGACTGGCCTGCTCCTGAGGAGACAGGCACCACAAGACATAGGGTGACAGACAGAGAAGGGGACGAGATGCAGTCAGGGAAACCCTGAGGTAAGCAGTGGGAGACAGACAGACAGACAGACAGACAGACAGAGAGGTCGCGGCAGAAACAGAAAAGACAGAGACAGAGAGAAAGAGACAGACAGATAGAGAGCCAGAGAAGGGAAACAAACCAAAACCAAACCCACTAAGGCCCAGGCCCAGGCAGGAGGTGCAGGAGGGGCTGGGAAGAGTCCACCGCCAGGCAGCCCAAGGAGATGGGGTGGGAGAGTCTCACCTGCTGTGCGAGGCCCCTGGGTCCCTTTATAGAGGAAGCGGCAGTGGCAGGCAGGCAGCAGGCGGGTTCTAGGCCAGGGCTGGGGCCGGGGAAGCCCCCAGGGCTTAGAAGATGCTGCCGTTTCAGCCGAAGGCAGGAAAGGCTGAGGCCTAGGAGAGAACCGCAGGCTGGGGGCTCAGACAACTGAGTTCTAGGAAGGGGAGTGGGGTCAGGGGAATTGTGGGCTGGCAGGGCCAGGGAGTGGGGTCAGGCTTAGGAGTTCCAAAGAAAGACAGTAAATTCAGGGGAGCCAGAAGAGTGTCAGCGGGGTGTGGGCTGGAGGCCTGTTTCCCTGAAGAGTGATTATGTATAATACCTCAGTATCCTTGGCTCATTACCAGCTTTTCTGTGTGTCCACTTCCTTTTCTTTACCCCCATCCTTGTCCCAAATGGCCCAGATCACACCTGTCCTGGTGTGAGTACTTTCCAGGTTGTCTGGCATGTTCCATATCAAGAAACCTGGGACATACCCCTTTCCTAGGACATTCTGGTTTATGCCTGCTGTCCTAGTGAAACAACTCACGGAGCCCATTTCAAGGTGTCCTGGAAGATAGATGTATGTCCCCCTTCCCAGAGAAGATGCCACTCAGCCATGTACAATGAGGCCCTACACCGCACCCCCAGGTCAGACTTAAGTAACCGCACACAAACACATTCCGGGATCAAGGAGTGTGGCAGCCCAGCCATTGGCCTTGAAGCAGCATTTGTAGAACCAATACATTGTTTTAAAATTAAGGATTTCCCTGTTTTTTAAAAAAGATTTTATTTATTTATTTTTAGAGAGAGGGGAAGAGAAGGAGAGAGAGAGAGAGAAACATCAATGTGTGGTTGCCTCTCACATGGCCCCCACCGGGGACCTGGTCTGCAACCCAGGCATGTGCCCTGACTGGGAATCGAACTGGTGACCCTTTGTTTGCAGCTCGTGCTCAATCCAGTGAGCTACACCAGCCAGGGCTTTTTTTTTTTTTTTTTTTTTTTTAAAAACGTGTGACTTAGATATGGTGAGATGCTAATTTTCTAAGAGAATAGCCTGACAGACTTTTCCATATGTTCATAGCTATGTAGCCACCACCTAGTTCAACATGTTCCCAGGTCCCCAGAAGTTTCTCTCAAGCTCCTTCCCAGTTAATATCCTCCAGAGATCACCAGCCACTTTCTGACCTCCATTACCGTAGATTAGTTCTTCCTGCTTTGGAACTTGAGGTAAATGAAACCACACAGAATGCACTCACTGGAGTTTCACTCATTCCAGGCAGCACTGTCTGTGAATGCCATCACAGCATGGTCACACAGGTCACAGTGGGTCTTCACTGTGGAATAATTCCTATTTAGAGTCTGGTGAGTAGACTCTTATTTATTTATCTATTCTCCTGCTGAGGGGCATTTGGTTTGGATCTAGGTTTTAGCTGGTATGAAAACCACTGATGTGAACATGAGCCAGTTATCACTTAGCTTATAAGTTGCAGGCTAAAAAAAAAAATCAGGTTTCTAAACAGGATTTTATTCATGTTTCATGAGATTGAGAAAACAATAATCACTCTTACTAATGGCAGTTATGCTTTCATTTGGAGAGTTTTGGAGGGGCTGGTCCTAAGGGTGGCAGTGATGGAGGCCAAAACCTTCCCACTCCGGCACTGGGCAGATTGCCAATCTCCTCTGGTACAAAGTCCCTGAGGGGTCCTGTGGCTCATAAGTAATATTCAGGATGTGTACAAACTATTTTCCTGTCTTCTTTCCTCTACCTTAAGTTCTGCAACTTTGCCTTTCATGCCATACTAGTCTTATCTATTATTTCTTTTTGCTCTCATTCCATCTCCTTAGCTGTCTTTCTATTCCACTAACATTTACTGAACATCTTGTACAAGACCCTGAGAATAGTCTTTCTCCAGGACCTCGAAGCCCAGTGTGGGAGACAGGAAAGTTATCAAAAAATTACAGTAAGGTATGATAAGTTCTGTGACAACAGGCTCACGGCAGTCTACAGAAAAGCCATCAGACTTGAGGAGAGGTGATTCAGGCATTAGGTACCAAGGCAAAGAAAATGGCAAGGAGTATTCCAGATAGAGGGAACAGCTGGTGTGACTCAGTGGATTGAGTGCTGGCCTGTGAACCAAATAGAGCCGGTTCAATTCCCAGTCAGGGCACATGCCTGGGTTGCGGGCCGATCCCTAGCTGGGGCGTGTGCAAGAGGCAATCAATCAATGTTTCTCTGCCTCTCTTTCTCCCTTCTTTCCCCTCTCTCTAAAATTAAATAAATTAAGAAAAAAAGACCCTATTAAAAGATGGTATGGAGTATGCTGAGTTAGGCTATTGGGTACAGATAGAAGAGGAAGCCACAAGCTTGGGAGGGAAGCTGAGAACTCATCCCGAAGGTCTGAAACCACAAAAAGAAGTTTGCATTTCATTCTAATTATGATGGAAGCCACCAAAAATTTTGAGTAAGAGAGCGCCCTACCAGATTAATGTATTAGAAAAACGAGTCTGGCAGCTACACAAAAGGTAGACTGAGGTAAGGGGGTGCTGGAGGGGAAACCAGAAGTGTTCAGACCAGTTAGGAGGGTTTTGCATAACCAAGCAAATAGGTGACAAGAGCCTGCATTTATACTGAGACCACAGCAGGAGAATGGAAAGAAGAGAGTTTCTGGGCACAATCTACAGGTCTTGATGACTGAGCAGATGTGATGGAGGAGAGTGGTCACAGATGCCTCTTTTAATTTTTGGGTCTGCATCTCAGCTTCTTATTCTTTTAACCTGTCTGTTGTGTCCCGACTGGTTTCCCACCTGGTCTGCGCCCCTTTCTCTGTGTCCCTCTTTCTCTGGGGTCCTTTTTCTCCCTCTCTAATGGTAGGAGCTGACAAATAGAGACCTCAGCTCTCTAAAAATCTAAAAGGACATTGCAATTACCAGTGAGACATAGAAATGGGGAAACTGAGGTCAGAGAGAAAGACTGATGCATCGATGGACAGAAAGGGGAAGGTGAGGAGCAGCAGGGAGACATGAGAGACAGAGAGGAAGGAAGGGCAGAGTTGGGCCAGGCCAGCTGTCACGGGGCTTGCGCTGAGCTGAAGGATGCTCCTTGACATGGGCCAATCTTGGTTTCAATCTCAGTTTCAGAGGTTATGTGAAATTTGGTTTCTTTCTTGGGGTGGCCGGCAGTTGGTTTGGGGCTTTCCCTGAGTGGGAGTGGTGATGACTGGAGTCTTGTGCTCCAAACTCAGGGAAATACAGTCTCTACAGTGGTCTCTGTGGAGAAACCAATGAAATCTCTGAGGCTTCCAATGAGGTTGAAATGACATTAGTCTGAAACCTAAACTTAGCCTCAAAAATCAAAATTGGGATTTAATACCAACTTTGACCTTAACCCAAATTTAACCCCAACCTAAATCACAACACAAACTCAACCCTAATGCCGAATCTAAGTACATTCCAATAAATGAACCCCAAACAAATGTATTCTCTAATCTAACACAACCTGTATCTAGAGCCAATCTTCAAACAAACCGATCGCCACGTGTAACCCTATAGTTAACCCTGGCTCTAAATGTCAGCCCAGTCTGAGCCACAGACCTAAAGTTGAGCTTTATCCTGCTTTGCCCCATTATTCACCCATCCCTCCATTTAATAATAACTCTTCATTGGGAGGGTACTGCATCCTGGGCACTGATCTAGGTAGGAGGGGTATTGTGGCAATCCAGTCAGACACTGTCCTGGCACTCCTGGAGCTTATATCCTAGTGAGGCAAGGTGAAAAAGAAATAAACTGAAGAGAAATCAGTAAGACGTGCTGTGAGGAAGTAAGACAGAGGTGTGATAACAGTGGTGGGGAACTACTTCAGACACAGTGGTCAGAAAAGTCCTGAGTAAATGGCATTTAAGGTGGGACCCAAATGACAAGAGTGATTGGGTGGAGGTTTGGAGGAAAAGAATTTCAGGCAAAGGGAATAGCTTCTGCAAAGGCCGGAAGGTGGGCACCTGCTAGGAGTGCTGAAGAACGGAAAGGAGCCACTGTGGCTGGAGCAGAGAGAGGTATGGGAGAGGGCTAGGAAATGAGGTCAAAGGGGCAATCAGGGCCCAGCTCACACAGGGCCAGGCAAGGAGGGGTAAGCATCTGGGTTTTGTTTAACTATTCTTTGTTCCAGGAAGCTTCGAAGGATGTCAGTGTGTGAGTGTGTGTGCAAGTGTGTATGTGTGTGTGTGAGAGAGAGAGAGAGGGAGGGAGGGAGGTCTGAGGCAGAGGTGATTGGATTTATGTTTTTAAATGATCACTGTGGCTCCTCTGTTTAGACTAGATTGTAGGAGGCAACACTGAGAGCTGGAACACCAGTTAGAAGACAATTACTATAATCCTGGAGAGAGATGGTGGCAGCCAAGAAAAATTTGTCTACTGGAGAAAAGAAGACAAATTTGGGATATACTTCAGGGGTAGAATTGACAGGACTAGATGATAGATTGGATGGATGGTGGGGGTGGGGGTAAAGATGGGGGAGATTGGGAGAGATGCAGGATTCTGAAGGGGTAGGAGAACCAAAAGTTCAATTTTGGGTTTGTTAAATCTAAACCTATTGATCCAAGTGGAGATGTCACTTAGCGGTTGGATTCAGTCTAGATTTCACAAGCGTCAGAGCTGGACAAGCTGGACAAGCAAAGCAGGTGTTTAAAGCCGTGTGGCTGGATGCCTTACCTTGCATACTCCCATAGGACACCTTCAAGGTATTTATATTTTGCCATAATAAATGCTTTATGTCTTCCATTTTTAAATTCCAGAAGTAGCAACCTCTTGCTTCTAGGGGGCAAAACTGTCTAGATTTTGTCTGCTTCTGAACTCTCAGTGGGATTTACCTCCCTAGATTAGATTTCCTATTCTACAAGGAGACATCTATGGATCCATTTTACATTCTGTGGGACTCCTCTTATATTCAAATCCTCTATTCTATTTTTGAAAGCATCTTCCTCTGGCACTTGGAAACCTGGATTTCTCCTAACGATGCTCCTCCCTCTGGTGAAGCCTGCCTGCTTCCTTCCACCCCCATCACTAGGGGCAGCAGGCAGGGAAGCCCGTTTCCCTCCCCCCACGCCACTGGAAACTCCTCCTCTCAAAGCCCATGTCTCCTGCATTTGCCATGCTCTTCCTGTGTGCACGCAGTCTTCTCCACCAACAACTCTACCATGCTGTTAACAACTTGTGTATCTAACTCAGTTTTTCTCCATATCTTATCCCCTACCACCATTTTCAGAGACTTCGAAACCACAAAGATGAAATTTATACTCTGGTCTCTCAATGATTCAGCTTTGGAATCACTTACCTACCTGATATTCTAGCTAGGAGACCTGAAACACTTGACTTGGGTAAACTTAATGGCCTCGTCCTTAACTGTTTCTCCTAAGCTGCCAAGCATTGCAGGAGTCACGTCACCGTAAGAGACCTACAGCTAATCCTATCTGACCCGAGAGCCCCGTGTTTCACACTGCAGGTGATGTTCTAAGTCTCCATGCCTCTTATGCTCTCCATTCTACCTCCTTCATCTCAGTTGGTGATGCTGTCATCTATTTCACTGTGCTCAAGGCCATGCAAGGTACGGCTCCTGACTTCTTTTACCTTTATGTTTGATCTTTCCTTTCTTCTTGAGTCCAGGAGTGCTCTTTCCTTTGTACTCTGTATCCCATTTCCTGTCTTTATTGTATTCTCTCTCCTCTTTCCTGTTTTCAGTATCTTTCTCTCTTCATGCTCCTCCCCTTCATTTTACAGATGTTTTTTCCTTGAGAATAAAAAATCCTTTTTTTGTCTCTCAAATGCCCACTCCATCTCTCACCTTCCATGTTTGTGTGCTGTCTTGAGACTAACCCCTTTAGGAACTGGTAAAATTTTCCTCATCTGTAAAATTCGTGGGTTGAACTAGAGAGTTTTTAGTTTCTTCTGTATTCACCATTCTATGACTTTGTACCCACTACCTCCCTTTCCTCACCTCCCACTCATTCCTCATCTTATGTAAAGTGATTTCTGTACCATTGGTAAGTGGAAACTACTTTCTTGAAATTTGTAATCATCTAGTTCTTGAACCTAAAGGATCTTTTCAACCCTCACCTACTTGATGTCTTTGAAGCATCAGATGTGGCCCCTGCTTGGAATCACACCTCCTTGCCCTACTTATCTGACTGCTCCCTGATCTCGCTCCTTCACTGGTTCTTCTTTCTTTGATGACCCTCAGGGTTTATCTGGTCACCTTCTCTTTTGGAAATCCTGTCAACTCAGAGTTTCAACCTTCATTGGGAGGAGTAATGCCCAAATCTATTCTTCCAGCCCAAATGTCCCTCTTGTACTCCATGCTGGCTTGCCAGAGAACTCCACCTGCGTGGCATGCTAGCACCCCCGGCTCCGTGGGTTTCTGTGGGCACTTTATTACCCTAAGGCAGCGATTTTCAACTGGTGTGCTGTAAGAATTTTTAAAACATGCAATACCTCATTATTCAATGAGGGGCACTGACCTGTCTCCTTAGATTATCAAATTAAAAGATGACAACACCCAACACAACAGCCCCCCAGCGTGAATAAATAAAAATAATACACATCTTTTGTGTACTACAGAATGTTAAGTTCAGGTGCCATGAGATGAGAAAGGCTGAAAATCGCTGCTCCAAGCAGCTGTAGCTCCCATTATTGTGCGTAGTTGTCCCACTTATACTTGTGTAGTATTTGTTTCGTCAGACCACGTGCGCTGAGAGCAGTGACTTTATTTCACTTATGTTCATTGTCTAGCAGAGCGCCATGCTTCTGTCGGCTGCGGAATACAAATTTACTGACTGAGTACGTGAGATGAACTCCTCACCTTCCCCTGGGACACGCAGCTCCGCGGTTTAGGACAACTTGCCCTTTCCAGTCTTCTTGGCTCAAAACTTGCCAAGTCATTCGACTCCTTTTCTCTCATTCTCACCACCAATCAGCTGCCATGTCTTGAATTACCCTCTTGAAGTTTATAAAATCTCTGTCCTCTTTGAATCGAATTAGCAACCCTTTGGTTCACAGCCTGCACTCAATCCACCGAGCTACACCAGCCAGGGCCTGTTTCCTTTTAATGCCATTTGGAGTTATTGAGACCTGTGCAGTAAGTACGCACTAGTCTTAGAGCAAGATGAGTTTAATGATTCCATTACTCTTTAGCTGTGTGGCCCTAAGCAAGTAACAGGACATGGATGAGCCTCAGTTTCCTCATCTGTACAGTGGAGACTCACTCCCACCCTTCTGGACAGTTGCTGGCAGCATTACTAATGTTAAGAAAGGAACCTGCCATGGTCACACATAGGTGTTCAAAACACTGCTGCTGTCTTCTTCCCTTAGAGCCTGTGCCAGCAGCACTCTCTGGCACAGTGGTCACAGTGCCATCGCACACCACACAGGCTGAATCCTGTCCCTCCAGCACCTGCTCACTCACACCTGTGCTTCGTCCACCTCAGGATACTCTTTTCCTGAACATACTGCTTTTCTGACTTCCTCCTCTGCTCGCAGAAATTCTCCCCATTGGTCAGTGCAAGCTCTCATGCCCTCCCTGCCTCTTCTGTACCTACCATGCCTCCCCTGTGGGGCTGGAAAGTTGAAGCAGAGTTTGAATTTATCTCTGGGCTACTTGATGCTCGGTTAAACTGTACTGAAGAGAGCCCCTCTGGGTCCTTTTCCTGACTTAACCCAGACCTGCCTTGACCCCAATTCCCACACAGTCCCTCTCGGTCTTACCAGTCTCATTCTCAATTCTGTTTCTCTAACTGAAACCCAAGGCGTCCTCCCCTGAGAACTGACTCCTCGCTCCAACTCTAGAGGACATGCACTCTTCCACCTTCCCAGTGTTTCACGGTAGGCACTGAGTCACCCCTTGGGGATCCCTGGGTCCCCTCCCTGCCCCCACTGTGGTGGACAGGATGCCTGCTGCCTGGCCCCAGGGGGTCAGAGGAAGCCAGGGCCTCTAGGGCTCAGTATTTTTATCAGCCTAGGAAAAAGAGACACAGAAGCGGAAACCGTGTGGTCAGAGAAAGTGAACAGCCCTCATCGCAGGGGAACCCCCAACAGGGCTGGGGGCCAGACATCAGGGAGAAACACTGAAAACAGGGAGGTCTGGGGGGCTCGGTATCAGGGCTTATTTTGTTGTGGTTTTGTATAACTCTTGCACACGGTTGGTGATATGTTGAAAAACCAGAGAAAAACCTGGACAGAGGAGCAAAGTTGGACACCAAGGTTTTCTGCTGTTTACCTGTCAACCTCCAGCTTTGGATCCTAACCCCTGCGCACCGCCCCCCCGCCCCCCAACTTGAGCTCTTTGCATGCCACTTCCGAAATCTCCAGCCTGTGAAAGGAACCGGACGCCTGGGTCGCTCACAGCTCAGTCTCTTCTCTGAATCACAGCAGCTTCCTCTCACAGGCTCTTTCTCACCAGCCCTTCCTCCTCCTGCTCCTGGAACATCTGGCTGGTCCTTTGGAGGCCTTGGGCCTCTTTGCTCTGTCTTCTCCAAGGGTTTCGTGCTCACCCCACGTTCCTGAGCCATGTTCCTGAGGCTGCCCCTCCGCATCCTCCAGAGCCCTCTACCCTTGGGCTTCTCCTGTCTAGGCTGGGGCCCCAACCTGAGAAATAAGTTTCTGATTCACAAGCTTCTCTGATGTGGACAAGTGCAGACTGCACAAGCCCGCTCATGCCAGTACTCTCAGTCCTGCCCTTTCTCTTCACCAAGTTTGCTGCTGGGCCCTGGGGCCGGCGGTGGGTTTGGTGCTGTCCACAACTTCCTGTCCCAGTCCAGGGAGCGGGAGTGAGAACTGAGTATGGACAGTGGGAGGGATGGTGCCCTCAGTCCTCTGTGGGAGTTCTACACCTTCTCCTTCTACCCCTCAGGGCCTTTTCCTCAGCCTCGGGGGGGGGAAAAGGAGATGTTTATCTGGAAGGCCATGCCTGCCTGCCCAGAGATAAAACCCAAATTTGGGATGGGGACAGAAGCTGAGGGAGGGAGTTGAGAACTGAGGCTGTCAAAACAAAACAAAACCTCAAAAAGTGTTTGGAGGCTTTGGCCAGAAATAAATGATAAAGATTTATTCAAGGGTTTGCAAACTAGAAACGTAACTAGACAAAAACCCAGAAATGTTTCTGAAGAAGAAAGAAAAATTAAGAATTCCTATAGTAAAAAGTGTATCCTTGAGAACTGTCAGTCCTGGATTCTAGGCTTGGTCCAGGAAAGTCATCCGTCAGCTGTCAGGTGGTCTGGATGATGGACGTCGGGTGAATGTATATGTGAGTCCTTCAGGGGTAATCAGAGGGTTATCTGGAGGTCAGATGTGTGCCCAGGCATTGAAGCAGGACTGGAAAATTAAGAAGTTTTAGTTCCCAGGCTAGTTAAAATGAGAAGAGAATCATTTCCTGAGGCCTCAACCTACCTGAAGTTAGTTTTTAACAACTTGACTACACTGAGTCCATCTTCACTCTTTTCTCAGGGTCTGGAGGAGAGATAGGAGTGACCTGGAGGGGAGAGACGGCCTCAGGTTGGATTCCGTGTTGCCCAAGAGCAGACAACCCAGGTTACATAATTTGGCTCTTTCCGCCTGCTTCCCCTGCTTCTAATTTTAGCAACTGAAATTCCACTCCCCCACAGAGCTCTTCCTCCATCCATCCTGCTTCTATCCTCTGACCTCCTGCAACCTCCTTATGTCCCCCAGCTCTGGCTGCCCCCAACTTGGACCATTCAGTGACTCAGCAAAGGGAAAGCCCTGTCTATGCTGGGGGAGGGGTGTTACTGGGGAGGAGGATGTGGTTCTGACTGGGGAGGGGAGGGGAGGGGAGGGAAACTGGGTTTGTTCCTTCTTCTTCCTCTTTTTTTTTTTTTTGCTTCTCTTCACACCTATTTCTCCAGTGACTGATTGCAGAGGAGAGCCTGGCATAGGGAGTGGTCACGCTGGAGGGCAAACTGGGCCTTCTTAGGATCAACCTTATGGGTGGGCAAGCAGGGGGTTTCTTGTTGCCAGCTGAGGGCACATGTCGGTGCATGCATGCATGCATGTCACAGTTGTGTGGGAGCTGTGGGTTTTGGCTGGTGGGGCGGGAAAGGAGATGTCATGGGTGATGAAAACCACAGCAATGGAAAAAGGCAGAGGAGACACCAGGAGTGAGATGTGAACCAGGTCTTATTAGGAAAAGGCCGTCGAGGAGCAGTGGTGGTGGCCTGGCCTCCCCACCCCCGCTCACTGCCAGTTTCACTCCCACCCCATATCCTCTGCTGTGCGGCATCTGCCTGGCCCTCATCATTCCTCTCTCTGACCGTGCCCTTCCCTTCCTGCCACCCTGCCCCTACGGCTGCATTCTCTGCAGTTTCTCCCTGCTTTCCTGTGGTCATTTAAGGGCCCCTGAAAGATTCAGGGCCCAAGAAAGGGCTGTCACAGCTCCCATCACCTCCCAAGTCTCAATCTGGCTCCATAATTACTGCTGGAAGTGGTCAGGGTGCCAGCAAATGCACTGGACCCTCAGACACACCTGCTCCCCCAAGGGGGGGGGCAAGCCCTGGCCATCAGGATTGCAGCCATGGACTCTGGGTCTCCTCCCCCAGGATGGGGCCTGGGTACATGATCTAAGTGCCAGAGGCTCCCCTACCTGCTCTGTGGGGTGTTGGGCCCTGCGCCCCGGGCCCCTGAGAGCCTGTGGTGCTGGCCTGGCCTGGCCGTGCCTAGCTTCTCACAAAGCTCCTTCTCTGCAGCTCTGGCTCACTCTTAGAAGAGCCACTGCTCCTTCTGTTGCCACCAGCTGAGACTGGAGCCCTTAGCCTGTGGGGTCTTCAAGTTCCCTCTGCCTCATGTTGCTGCAGCTGCTGCTGACACTTCTGGGCATTTTCCCAGGCCAGGTGATCTGTCCAGGCTGAGAAGGACTCAGGTTCCTGGGCCTCTTGGGAAGTGGCTGGTGTTTGGGAGGGTGGGATGGGAGTGGTTAGGAAGAGTCTGTGAGAAGGTCACGGGGAAAGAGAAGCAGGGTGGGACAGAGGGAGGGCGTATAGGTAGAGCAGCCTGTAGGGAAAGGCAGCTGTGGCTGGGAAAGGGCTCCTCACCTTCAAGTGGCCCAAAGACCTCCTGCCATTCCACTCGTCCTCTAGCTCTCCCTGCGGCTTCTGCCTTCATTGTGCTCCCTGGATGCCTTGTCTTCTTCCTCCTCTTCAGCAGAATCCCAGGGTGGAGCCCAGCCCAGAATTTGCCCAGGGGTTTCTCCATCCTTATTCGTTATTTCCATGGCAGATGGACTACAACTCAGCAGTGGCAGGAAGAAGTCGTGCAGGCTGTTGGTGGCAGAGCAGTGAGAGGAGTTAGCTGGGGCCCCCTCCTTGGCAGGGTACCATCTAGATCTTGCCGGTCACTCACCCCCTTCTGGACCAGACCAATTATTTACTGACAGTTTACCACATGCATAATAAGTGTGGTAGTTTAACATATCCTGACCCGTGTCCCCACAAACTATTTTAGTTTCCTGGAGGGTTCTACTACGTCAAATGACATTTTCTGGCCTGCCCGCAGTCACCCAGGGCAATGTCAAAAACCTCCATGTACTCCATTTTTGGCCTGAAAAATAAGGTCACTCTCTACCTCTTATTGTGTTTGTCACCCCACATTATAATCCAGATGGTAAAATATCTGAACATTCTATTTTATACCATTAAAAGTCTACAGATATATAAAAGTATCTTTTTATGCTGCTTTTCAATAACTGCACAAAATGAATGTTTTTAGGGGAGTTTCCCTTGGCCAGCCTTTCCCAGGCCATGCTGAGAGGAGAGAGGGGAGATAGAGGGTCCAGATCAGCAATGAGTGTGAGCCACAGAAAAGTTCCTAGCAGCAGAGCAAGCTCTTTCCAAGTGACTGCTGGCCCAAGGGCAAGCTGTGGGGCAGGAGGGAAGGGACTGAGACAGAGGGTCCCTCCCAGGGGCTGTCTGATAAGAGACTGGGGGAACACAGAAGACAGACTACCGTTGCTGAGCTCCCCCTTCCTGTGCCCCGGCCTCACTGCGCCTGCTCCAGTGTAGGCCGGCTCAGGGCTGTGCTGTTGACTTCACTGCCAACCCAGGCACCTTACTCCTGGCCAGGCCCACCTGCCAAGGCCACCAAGGCCACCAAGCACCTCTTCTACTCTTGGGACAGAGGAAGGTGAGTGAGGCACCCTCTCTTCCTGTAGATCTACTTACTCTCCCTAGGGCTGGAGGTCCTTAAATCTTTTGTGGTACCAGGAAGTACTAGCTATCTAGGAAAACGATGGGACAGGAGAAGGGCTTCTTTGTCACTGCCAGGAAGGCAGGAAGACAGAATGGGCCCAGTCGTGGCTGGCGACTGCCTATCTTCTCGCACACTTGAGTGCCATGCACCCAAACCACATCAGGATGAGGGGGCACTCCTCTTTATCACTGATATGATCTGTCACAAGCCCTCCCAACTTGTCCCGCCCAACAAGTAGTCCCATCTTTCAACTGCTTACTCCCTCCCAGGGTTCCTGGCAGGTATGAGAATGGGTGCATGCTCAGTCTTGCACTGATGTTTTTAAGTTCACAGGTTTTAAGGCTTCCAACTATAAAACATAAGTAAAATATGATACAGGATATTATATAGGCACTAAAAAGGATGTCTATGTGTGGAAATAGCTGGCTACAAAACTGTACGTAGGGTCTGATTATAACTGTGTGAAAAAGAGACCAAATGCTGTGACTGAAGAACACTGGCTGGAGACGTGCAGATTCCAGTCTCTGGGTGGCAGGACTGTGGGTGGCTTCTCCCATCTTATTTAATGATATTTTAATGTGAAAGGGATATGACTAATGTAAAATTTTCCTCTCATTTAGTTATTATTTTATCCTCACTCAAGGACATGCTTCTTTATTTTTTATTTTTAGAGAGAGGAAATGGTAGGGAGACAGAAAGGGAGAGAAACATCAACTGGTTGCCTCTTGTACACACCCTGACTGTGGACCAAACCTACAACCTAGGTATGTGCTCCGACTGGGAATCAAACCCTTGACCTTATGGTTTGCAGGATGATGCTCCGCCCAACCAGTCAGGGTGCTGGTTTTTTTTTTTTTTTTTTAATTTTTAAAGAATGAAGAATACATTTAATCACTCTTAAGGGTTTGCTGTGGTCCCTTCCAATCTTGTATTGGTGTATATAAATGCATACATAAGACAGTTTTTTTTTTCAGAGACCTGTGACCACACTATACATATTATTTGACAACTTGCTTTTTTCACTTAACACCTTATATTTTTCCACAAGAGTAAACACAGATGATCTCATTCTTTTTTATGACTGTGTAGGGTTCCACTGAGCATGAAACAAACGTCTCCCACCACTAATTTATAGACTTGTTTCCAAAACTGTTCAGCCTCATATACATCTCTGTGGACTCCTCACGGTATTTCTGCGGGGTGAGTTCTCAGAAGTGGAATTTCTGAGTAAAGAACATGCACGAGTTTGCCAAACTGCCCTCAAGTTTGTGCCAACATACACCCTTACCAAGAAAATGAGTGCCTGCATCGTCTACCAAACTGAATCTCATTGACCTTTTAATTTTGCCTATCTGACTGATTAGAAAATGATTCTAATTATGAAACTTTCTTTTCCATATGCTTTTTGTGTTACTTTTGTGAATGACTTGTTCACATATACTTTAGATATCAACCCTGTATGTCTGTTACAGATATTGTAAATATTTTCTCCACTAACAAAATTTTTATGTACAATATGCCAAGGTTGTGAGTCCGATCCCCAGTCAAGGCACATTCAAGGATCAGCCAATATATGCACAAATAAGTGGAATGTCAAATTGATGTTTCTCTTCCCTCCCTCTCTCTCTGAAATCAATCAATATAAATAAATTTTAAAAACTTAATGTAGTTAAATCTGTATCAATAACTTTTGACTTCATTATTTAGAGAAATGTTTTATTGATTATGCCATTACAGTTGTCCCATTTCCCCCCTTCATTCCCCTCCACCCTGCACACCCCTCCCCCACCATTCCCCCCTTTCCTTTATGTCCATGTGTCACAAGTTCTTTAGATTCTATATTTCCCATACTATCCATGCCCTCCCCGTCTATTTTCTACTTACCGTCTATGCTACTCATTCTCTGTACCTTCTCCCCCCTTCTCCTCCGCCCACTCCCCTGTTGCTAGCCCTCCATGAGACCTCCATTTCTATGGTTCTGCTCCTGATCTAACTGTCTGCTTAGTTTGCTTTTGTTTTAGGTGTGGTTGTTAATAACTGTGAGTTTGCTGTCCTTTCACTGTTCATGTTTTTTTAACTTCTTTTTCTTAGGTAAGTCCCTTTAACATTTCATATAATAAGGGCTTGGTGATGATGAACTCCTTTTGATCTTATCTGAGAAGCACATGCCTATAATGAAAGCGCTGATAGAAAATAGGAACTTGGAAACCCCCACCCCTTCTTGCCTTAAGGTCTTTCTTGTTGCTGTTCCTCTTCCCCTTCTGGTACCCCTATAATTTGGATGTTGGAATGTTTAAAGATGTCCTGGAGGTTCCTAAGCCTCTCCTCATTTTTTTGAATTCTTGTTTCTTCATTGTTTTGTTTGGTCGTTTTTTTCTTCCTTCTGGTCCACTTGCTTGATTTTAGTCCCAGTTTCCTTCCCGTCACTATTGTTTCCCTGTGCATTTTGCTTCATTTCACTTAGTGAAGCCTTCATTTGTTCATCTAATTTGTGACTAAAATCAACCAGTTCTGTGAACATCCTGATCACCAGTGTTTTGAACTCTGCATCTGATAGGTTGGCTATCTCTTGGTCGCATAGAAGTATTGGCTCTGGGGCTTTGAGCTGTTCTCCTTGAGCCATAATGTTTTGGTCTGTTTGCTCCTATTACATATGAGGTACGGAGCCTTAGGTGTTCACCAGTACGGGGCAACTCAGGTCGCTGGGTTGTGATGCTGTATGTGGGGGTGGGGTCAGAGGGGCAATGGCGTTTTTTTCTGCTCACTCTTGGATTTCAGTCCCCTCTGCTGCTTCCCACCAGCAAATTGGGCCCTTCTGGTGCTGGTTCCTGGGTGTGTGGGCTTGTGCACCCTCCAGGACCCTGTGGGTCTCTCCAGCAAACTCTGTGAGGCTGGGAGCCTCTCCCGACACATCAACCCTGAAAGTTTTTCCAATTGGTGCTTTTAGGCTTTAATTCCCATCGCTGGGGTTCTGCGTTGCGTGTTTTGTCTCACTGCCCGTTTTTTCACCTGGTTTATCTGCGAGGTCAGCCAGCCACACTGGGTCTGCCCGTGGCCACCCCACACCTGGGATCTGCCAACCACTGCCTGAGCGCTTGGGTCAGTCCGCCGCTTTTTTCCTGCTCATCCCCATCTGCTGGTTCCGCCCCTCTTACCCGTCTGGATGAATGGTTTGTTGTTGTTGGACTTCAGTACAGTTTAATTTTCTCTCTGTTTTGGTTGCGTTATGCTTTTTAAATATTTGTTGTTCATAAACTTGGTTGTGCGAGGAGGTACAATGTTTCCACCTATGCCTCTATTGTGGCCAGAAGTCCTTGACTTTATTTTATTTTTAAGAAAATTTTCTCCATTCCAAGATTACTAAACTATTCCAGTGTGTTTTTTTCTACCATACTTACTTTTTTGAGAGGGAATTTAAAAAAATTTTAAAAGTACAAAGCATAGTATAATAAGTATCCATATTTCTACCACAGGGTATGTTAACATATTGTCATTTTTGTAACACCACTTTATTTTATTTCATTCCTTTTTTTTTTTTAAAGACTTTATTTATTTATCTTTAGAGGGGAAGGGAAGGAGAGAGGGAGAGAAACATCAATGTATGGTTGCCTTTCATGCGTCCCCTGCTGGGAATCGGTCTGCAAGGAACTGGTCTGCAACCCAGGCATGTGCCCTGACTGGGAATCGAACCGCGATTGTCTGGTTCGCAGGCCCGTGCTCAATCCACTGAGCTACACCAGCCGGGGCTCATTCCTTTTTTTAAAAATGTTTATTTTTATAGGGAGGAGAATGGAGAGAGAAAGTCAGAGAGAGAAACATCAATGTGTGAGAGATACATCAATCAGTTGCCTCTTGTACTCTCCCTACTGGGGACCTGGCCCACAACTCAGGCATGTACTCTGACTGGGAATTCAACCAGAAACCTTTTGGTTCACAGGCCAGCACTCAATCCACTGAGCCACACCAGCCAGGGTAACACCATTTTATTTTAAAGAAATAAAGCCATCATAGGTAAGCTAAAGTTTTCTTTGATGATGCCTTCTAAGTTTTATTGCCCCCAAAGGAACTGCTCCCATGAATTTGGCATGTACCCTTCCTGTAATTATTTAGGTGCTTAATCTGCTGTAATTTATTTTTAAGGTAGGTGTGAGGAAGGACTCTATTTTTTCACCTCCCTCCAGTGATTTGAAATGCCAACTTTATCATCAATTTAGCAGTACAGATCACCTTTTTCCAATGTACTTTTATATTGGGAAAAATAAATATGAAAAAAATGTTCTGGAGTATAAATGGACTTTGTCTTAGTGATGAAAGACTGCTCTTCCCCATCCCCATAACGAGATGATTTCTACCTTAAAGCAAAGTTCATACTAACTGGTATAAGTCACTCAAAAAACCACCAATATCAGAAGCTTATATTGAGGACAACTGACTGAGGCAGGTGCAGAGGAAGAAAAGGTAACTGGGCAGGATGGTCACAGAGTGCTTCCAGGAGGAGGTGTGGCTTATGTTGGGCTGAGAAGGTAAAATAACTTAGCAAAGTGGAAATCAGGTGGATGGGAAGGCAACAGGCAAGAGACATAGGCCTGTGAAAAACATGCGGGGGTCGGGCGGTCCCCGAACATAGACCCACGTAGCTGGAGCTGTGGGTTTGAGGGTGTGCCATGGGAAGCAATGTTGGAAAGGCAAATGGAACACAGATTAGATGGCTCAGCCACCTGGAAAAGAGGGCCGCAGCCTACTTCTGCGTGAGGATCAAAGTGGGTAAGGGATGATGTATGTTGGCCACTGTGCCGCCAACACAGCAGAAGTGTAGTGAATCTCACATTTAAAAAAATCTGTATCTATATGTCAGGCTGGTATTGGATTTTATCCTTTTCGTAAAGATTGTGAGAAAATGACCCTGTTTTTCAGTGTTTGCTAGTTCTTTTTGTATGTAGAGAATGGTAATTGTTGAAGATGTGTTTATAAAGGGGTCTCTGATAGCTGAGACAACTTCCCGACGAGGTGATGGGTCCAAAGAGAAGTTACCAACAGCCCAAAGGTAGGCGCCATTCACCAGCATCTCCCTGGTATGACAACTCAGCACAGCCAACCCAGCAAGAACAGGCAAATCCCGCAGGCCTAACATAGGAGCTGAGGGGAATGCTGTCTTCTCAGGGGATCCTAGATCATTTCATCAGTTAAAGAAAATTGCATTTAAAGGCACAGTGGTTTCTAAAGCAGGCAGCAACGGAATGAGATGGACCTTTTTACTTAGGAGTTAGAAGGCCCCCTGGTGGCAGGGCTGGCAGGGACCAGGAGAAAGTAAGGCCCAAGAGGATGGACAGCGTGTGAGATAATAGTATTAATCTTGCAGGCTTCTGAGAATTCAATACAATGAAGGAAGCACTTACCATACAATGAGGGATATTTTTATTATTCAAATAGCCTTAATTGAATAATATCAGAATAAAAAAAAACACTACATATCACCTAGTTAGTGCCAAACTGCACCAGGTTCTTGCCTCTCTTATTCACACCGCCTGTGTTTTAGAGGCAAATCGGGCTCACAGTGAGTTGCCAGTCCCAGTCACACAGCCTGCAGTGGCAGGCCTGCAACTTGGATAAGGTCTCTGGCCTGCCTCGGGGTGCTCGGTTCTTACTACCTACAATGCCAGTTCGGCTAGATTCCTGCACTTAATAAACTTCCTCTCTTTGTTTTTAAGTTAAGAAAATCTCAGTGCCAGCCTACCTCACTTATATTGGGAGTGGGTTCCTAGACTTGGGGAGCTGGGAGACGGTACTAGAGGCAATCAAATTAAGTGAAAGTTGTTCATCCCAACCTAGAGGTTCTCCTCTAATGCTCTTACTCTGGAAGAAAAATCCCCAGATGGGAAATGAGGGTTTCCTTTTCCTAAGGAGGGTTATACCCCTACAGAGCTGCCTCCACTGCCACTACAGAATCAGGAAACCGCAGTGTCAAAAGTTTTTCTGGTCTCCATGTTTTGGGATTTGATAGAGCTGATCTGAATGTTCACACACTGTATATTAGGTAGCCCAGAAGGGCCTGGGCAGCCCCAGGAACCAGACACATGAATGTTTACAGCAGAAGGTCTAGATACTGACATCAGTACAATAAAAACATATTACTTCAGGTTAGGTTTTGCCACCAAATGAGTCTGGTGGCAGACTGATTAAAAATGTTTGTTTCTCAGAGTGTGTGTGAGTTGCATCACTGTGGGTCAGGGAGTGTGGATCTGGTGACAATAGGAACAATACGGCCAGTATCAACTGAGTGCTTATCTCGTGTACTGCTTCAGTTGGTTCTCAAAACACTCACCCCAGCAGGGGCCTATGAACACAGGCACTACCGCTGAATGACTCTGTAATGTATCACACAGCATCACACTCTTGCTGGCCTGCCTGTGTTACAATCCCTGCTCTACCACTGTAGCAAATTACTTAACTTCACTGTGCTATATCCTCATCTGAGAAATATTAGTACTTATTACCTTGTAGGATTATTGTGAGGATTAAACAAGTTACTTTGATTAAAAGAGTTACTCTGTGAAAAGTGCTGGCCACATAGCAAGAGGTTGTTCTTATTTAATTTTGCACATGGTAAACTAAGCCTCAACGAAGTTTGTGTTGAGCTGGAATTTGAACCCAGGCAATCTAACTCCAGAGCCTATCCTCTATGCTACTTTTTGTGCTACAGGCAAACAACCCCTCAAAAGACAAAGTAGCTACTAATTTAGAAAGATGTGAAATTTGAAGACCAGTTGCTGTTTGAGGAACGATGGGCTCTTCAGACAATGGTGGCTCAGTACTGTAATGGCACAGGTGATAGATAGCCACATGCCAACTCGGTCAATTACCTAAGTCCCAGGACCAAATAACTAGCTCATTTTTCAACTGCTGGCCTTCATTTCAGACCCAGTCAGTTACTCATGACTCACCATCAGAGCCCTGGTGGGCAGTAGTAGCCTGCAGCTCCTCAGTCCAGTGGCGATTGTGGTGGGCGGGGTCAGTCCGGAGCCCGAGAAGCCGCACCGGCCCGCTGCAGGTGGGGCCCGACATCTACCTCAAGGCCTGAATGTCGCTGCAGGAGGGCCTAGGCGACCTGCAAGCCAAGTACCAACGACGGAAGCGACGCAGAGCGCGGCGGCAGGAAGCAGAGGCCATGGAACTCCTGGGCTGAGAAAGCAAAAGGCATCGTGGGACCGCAGCCTTGGCGGCCAGGCCCCCTCTCCCTCTGCCTTTCCCTCCGTCGCTCCCTTTGGTACCTGGTTTTTACATCTTCAGCAAGAGGTGACGACTGTTCTAACACGCATCCCTTACAAGGTGATAAACTTGAAAATTTTTAAGGAGGGCTGGGGTCAAATATTTAATTTTTCCATGTAAAATTGAAAGGACAAATTATTACTTTGCAGCTCATTGAAAAAGTCGAATTGAGACTGATGGGGGAAGTTTTTATAAACAGAAACTTGAGTTACAAAGTTGTAATTTCAAATAAGGAGCAAGAAATTGAATATAATGTACCCGGCTGACTGACGTGGAGGTTTCTCCCCCTGGGACCTGGAGGTCGGGGTTACTCATCAGACCTACCCCCCGCCCGCCTAAGTACTCCCAGAGCAGGTCGGAGGCCTACGCTTGAAACGCTCGGAGGCTGCCTGGTGGGAAGGTGGAGACATTCTAGGCTGGCAGAACTGCAGCACCTAGGCACAGGTAAAGGGCGGAAATGACTTAAGGCACGTTACCGGATGTTGTTATTCCTAAGGGGTGCAGTGGTCGGGGCGGGGAAGTGTGTTTTCGCTGTCTGACCTCCGGGGGGAAACTAGAGTTAAGATAAAAAGGTCCTCCTGAAACCAGGAGACTGGAGGATAGACGAGGAGCGAGGGAGGGCAAGGATAAAGAAGGGCGTTTTGGAGGTTTATCCCTGCTTCTCCCAAACTGGGAGGAGAGAGGAGTGGTTCGGGGTAGGCGAAAAGATGAGAAAAGAAAGAGAGAAAACAGGGGAGATAAGGACTGAATAAAAAATTACAGGGAACCCCAGCTGGTGTGGCTCAATGGATTAAGTGCCAGTCTCCCAACCAAAAGGTGGCTGATTCGATTCCCAATCGGGGCACTTACCCAGGTGGCAGGCCAGGTCCCCAGTAGGGGGGTCACAAGAGGCAACCACACATTGATGTTTCTCTCCCTTCCTCTCTCTCTAAAAATAAATAAATGAAAATCTTTTAAAAAATTACAGTGAAAATGAAAAACAAAAAACCACAGTAATGCCAAGAACAGGGACAAATCAAAAAAGGGCAACACAGGCATGGAGAAACATAACAACTGTAAGATAAGGCAGGTGGGATGGATGCAGACATTTGGACTTGGGAAAGACGTAGGAAAAGAGATAGAAACGGGAGTGAGAAAAAACATTGAAAGAACTCAGAAGTCCAGCGTACTCTTTTTCCAATACTCCACGCACGGTGACTTCGTCACCTTCTCACCCCGTTCTAAACTCCTCTTTGTCTTCTCTCCGCCCCTACCTCCATTCCCAGATCTCGCGCCTGGGAAAGCTTTGTGCTTGTTCTGAAGTTGACGGGCAGCTTTGGGTCTGGTCTCTGCTGCCGCCCAGCGTTCCTTCTGGGTACTGCCAGAGTGAGGTAGGAGAGGAAGATCTGCCACCATCGGGAGATCAGTTTGGGGGAGACTGCCAGTGCAGGGGGCTGAGGGAAAAGGGGAGCACTAAGACCCAGGAGTAGTGGAGGACTGCAGCAACGAGCTGGAAGAGGAGAAGTAGACGGTGGAGGGTGGGGTGGCAGCCATTTGGTACCTTGGTAGCATCCTAAACAGAATCTGCCATAACGACAGAAATGGCCAGCCAATCCCAGGGTATCCAGCAACTCCTGCAAGCAGAGAAACGAGCGGCTGAGAAGGTGGCAGAAGCCAGAAAGAGTGAGTCTTCTCCCTCTCCTAGGAATCTCGAAAGAAAATTGGGGATGAGTTGACAGCAAACATTTGTTTGAGTCCTTAGGAAAACCCAAGCCTGATGGGGTTGGGGGGGCGGTCAGAGAGCTGGGGGCTGGGGTGATTGATTAGGAAGGAAGATATGGGTGTTAGAATCTAGCACCTGGTTGGCTGAGAGACGGCAGAATAACTTCCTGAAAAGGACTGACCCCCTACTATCACATTTGTGTAAGGTTCATCCTGATCCTGTCCTTTCTTTTGCTTCCAGGAAAGGCCAGGCGTCTGAAGCAGGCAAAGGAGGAGGCACAGATGGAAGTGGAACAATACCGACGAGAGAGAGAGCAGGAATTTCAGAGCAAGCAGCAGGCGGTGAGTCTGAGGAGAGTTGGGAAGGCACCCAGGGCTGTAAGTTGGGGTGTGTACAGGGTGATTTTACAAGAAAAGATGGTGGTAAAGGACAGAAAGGGATCCTGGTGGGGATCATGACATTGGTCAAGCTTTGTTTACGTAACAGAATCTGGGCATTTGAAGAACTTGTACAGCTTGTGGGGGAATTGCCAGTCTGTGTGGGGTATGGTGATATTTGGGGTGGAGGGCGGATTTTAGTGGTCATGGGTGAGAAGGTGGAGATTATACAGTCTGTTTTGGGAAGAAGTTACGTGTCAGGTCTTGGGGGAAATGGGATTGTGTTGCTTTCTTTGGTCTCTGGGTATTTCCGTGGGATGTGGTCTTTGGAGAGGGCCTTTCTTCCTGGCCTTGCTCCAGGATCATTCCTTCCACATGCCTGGACCCTTCTTTCTGTTTCTTCCTTTCTTTCTTCTACTCCCCACCCCCCAGGCGATGGGCTCCCAGGGGAACCTGTCCGCCGAAGTGGAGCAGGCTACAAGGCGCCAGGTGCAGGTCATGCAGAGCTCCCAGCAGAAAAACCGTGATCGTGTCCTGACCCAGCTTCTTGGCATGGTCTGCGATGTCAGGCCCCAGGTCCACCCCAACTACAGGATTGCTGCCTAGGACAAATCTTGGGGCCTGTCTTTCCTGCTGGTTCCTACAGGATTGCTGCCTAGGACAAATCCTGGAGCCTGTCTTTCCTGCTGGTTCCCTCCCTCAAAGAAATCCCCAAATCAAAATCACCTTCCACCCTAATCCTACTCTTCATTTCCTAGAAATTCTAGGAGGAAGGACCCGATAACTCTGTGAAATACAGGTATACTGCTCAGACCTGAATGTCCTTTTTTTTTTCATTTTATTTTGTTCAAGTACAGTTTTCTGTCTTTTTTCCCCACAGTTTTCTGTCTTTTACTCCCATCCCAGTCCATCCCCCCCATCCTCCCTCCCATTTCCACCCCTCCCCCCGTTTTTGTCCATGTGTCCTTTATACTTATTCCTGTATCCTTATTGTTCTTTAACCTTCACTGGGACCTTGTAAACTCCCAAGTCATCCTCAGCCAACCCCTCTGTGAAATTTGTAGAATGGAGAAGTAGGGATGTAGAAAACATCCTGACTCCAGAGCCTCGCAGGCTTGGGTCCTTCTTCTGACCCTGCTACTTGTTGGCTGCTTAACCAGGGCAAACTACTTAACCTGTAGCTTCACTGTCCTCCTCTGCTATACTGGAACAATTATGCCTACCTTCCAGGGTTGCTGCAATGATTAGGAATCATTCTGCAAAGACCCTAGCATGGTTTCTGGCATGTAGTAGCTGTGATTGAATTAATGGCAACCCTGTGATATTATTACCACCCTGTCCACCTAACCACAGCTGTTTTCTCCTCTGTGGCTCTCTGATTTTACTCACGTATTCTATGACCCAGTAATTCTCTGAAGAATTGACGCTTCCCACCTTTGTTTCCAGAGAACTTATGATCCCTAAAAAGACAAAACGATTTTATTTAGCACCTCTGCTGCAGTTCCAGAAAGATGAGGCATTTCATAGGCTCTCTTTTGTCTCTCTTAAGTTGGTCTTTCTCTTGGATTTCTCCCTTTTCTTATTCCCCCAAAGACCCATCAAATGGTCACTGCTTCTTGAGATCTGAAGTGATGCTGTGTCCCTGTGTATGCATGGACTTCCTTTGTAACAATAAAAACTGTCAATAAAATGACTATGGGCAAATCCTTTTTTAAAAGAAGTTTTTATTTATTTTTAGAGGGAAGGAATGGAAGGAGAAAAACAGGGAGAGAAACATCAATGTGTGCTTGCCTCCTGTGCATCCCTCACTGGGGATCTGACCTGCAACCAAGGCATGTGCCCTGACCAGGAATTGAATCAGTGACCCTTTGGTTCACACAGGCTGGCACTCAGTCCACTGAGCCATACCAGCCAGGGCCAAATCCTTTTTTGAAAAAAAATTTTAAAAAATTTCTCACCTAAGGATATGTTTATTGATTTTAGAGAGAGAGAAAGGGAGAAACATTGATTAGTTGCCTCCTGTATTCACCCCTACCGGGGATTGAATCTGCAACCGAGGTATGTACCCTGACTGGGAATTGAACCCTGAAACCTTTTGGTGAACAGGATGACATTTCAACCAAATGAGCAACCTGATCAGGGCTATGGGCAAATCTTTTTGCTTCATCATTTCTCATTTTCAGTCACTCTCTTGTGTCTAGTTTTCATATTCCCCAAATACCCAAAAGGGTTGTCCTTTGAAACTTGTTGGAGAAACATAGCAAATAATACATCATTATGTCTCTAAAGTTGAGAAACATGTGATTCCTGGTTTGGGAACTTGAGGACTATAGATGGCAGCTGTAGAGGAAAGCTGGGCTTTCCTACAGAAAGGGGCAGAGTGCTTGTTCTGTTCCTACAGAACAAACACTCTGCCCGTTCATTACCCAAAGAGGCCCAGGCGCTATAAGAACAAAGGTATTTATTTGTTATTTGAGCAAAAGGACTGCAGTTTCCACTCCCTTAGATGCAGATTCACTTAACTACTCAAACTGCTCCCTGAGAAAACAAAGAAAGGCAGGGTTTATAAAGGCAAAAACCACAAAGTGCAATTCTCTCATGCAAATAAAAGATTGCTGGCTAGGGATTGATAAGTTCCAATATGCAAATGAAGGAGCAGTTGTTCTAAAATGTTTATAACTCAGCCTTGAATTGAGTTTAGCAAGTTTAGCAACTTTATAGTAGCTCTGAGAACTGAGGCACAAAGTGTGCATAGGCCCTGCTTCCTCAGTGGCCTCTGCCTCTATTTTTGTGACTCTATTTGCAGTGCTTATTCCATTTTATTTCCTCCGTTATCACCTTGCTTTATTTTTCTTCATAGCACTTATTACTACTTGACATATTTATATGTTTGAGTGTTGTCTCCCCCGTTATGTGAACTCTGTGAGATGACAGGGCTGTTGACTGCTGTGTCCCAGGATCCTAGGATAGCACTTGGGATAAATACTGTTGAATAAGTTGATACATAGGGTTAAAAAAACTGCCCTTCTATGTCACCATCCTTGGTGCATTTCTCTTGGCCACAGGAAACAGGCCTGCTTCCCAAAGGCCTTGAACTACTGAGGTAATCCATAATGCATTTATTAACCAGCCCCCTTAGCAGGGAGGTAGAATAAATAGAGTAAGAGGTGTTTACATTGTGGCTGTCACCTTACTAGCCGTATTACTTTCCATAAGTTGCTTTATTCTTTAAGTCTGGGCCTGTTAACAGAATGGGAATACTTGTCCCCTCTTCTTAGTGTTACACGGTAATAAAGAGCCAAACGTTTATTGTCATTTTTGTCAAGCAGCCTGCAGCCAACAAGTCTGACTTCCGTAATTACCAAAGATGGGGCGGGGAGAGATAGCAAACGCTTCATTCAGGAAAAAAATCCAGGCTGAATAATGGGGTTATTGGGGATGGAGCTAAAAAACATTCTGCTCGCATTAACGATACTTATGAAATATTCTGTAACCCTCAATCCAAACCGCGCCTTCCACTCACCACTTAGGGCCCGTTAGGGTATCTGCTACATTAGCCAACATTACTTTGGGCAAATGCCATTTCACAGTCCCCATGGTTGCGAAGAGGGTAAGGACAGGGCCTCTGTGCACCAATCGCTCTCACCTGAGCTGGGGTCGACCTTCCCTAGCTCCAACGTCGACGCCCCCAGGTCACCTTGACTACGGGGCCTAGGACCCCGTGGGAAATCGCAGCGCCACCAGCCTCGTCCCTCGCCTAAGAGGGGTGCCCAGAGAGAAGACCTTCTTGGCAGGAACGAATAAAGAGACGAGGGGCGTGGAGAAGAGTAGAACAAGAGGAAAAAAGATATCGGTGGAAGGGGATGCTAGTTTCCCTTATGCCTTTTGTCACTGACAGTAGTGACGGAGTTAGAAGTGAATTTTTAAAAATATTCTAGACAGGCAGTTTCTAAAGGCATCCCCGTAGAGCGCGGAACTACCGAACCATGGAAGGTCCCTCCCGTCACTTGCGCCTGCCCGCTGGCAGCCCAGAAGGCGGAAGGCCGGGGTCAAGGGAAACCGGGAACCGGAAGTGAAGGCAGGTTGCCTCCTTCGTTGCTGTTGCTGCCGCCATATGCGTTCGCCTTGCTCAGGTAAGGTTTGGCCTTCAGTACCATCCATTTCCATCTGCGTTTCTCTGCGTGCATCCTATTGCACGGGCTCCTGATGCCCCTTCCACAGGCTATAGCCTGGTCTTTGGGGCCCAGTTTGGTCGTTATTTTAAACGCTTCCATCCCTTTCGAGAGCAAAGAGCTCCTGGCGCGGGGAGGGGGGGCGGGTAGGGAAGCTAGAAAGGCTCAATTCAAGATGGTGGCGTCGGCGCCATTGTGTTCCTTCGCTTTCGGCTCCTCCAGTGGATTCCTTGTTTACTGGAGGCCCTAGCGACGGGGAGAGGCGGCGCTAGGCGTCTTCTGTCCTGGGCATTTTGCGGAGGGCGGGGCTCTTTTCACGTCCCTTCTGATTTTTGGGTCCTCTTGGCCCGCGCGGTGGGTCAGTTGGGTTTTTTTTTTTTTTAATCTCGACTTGCTCACCTTTATATGGAGCGCTTTCCAGATGTTTTCGAGAGATGTTACTGTGTGTTTTTTGGAAAGGAGACTCACCTGAGGAGTGACGCAGCGGTGATGTGAGGCCGCTTGATTAAGGCTCAGTTAAGGCCGAGTGTGTCATCCTCTCAGCTGCTACGTTGTTAATTGTATGATGAAGAGATGAACTTTTTCTCCCCCCACCGGCGGAGCCATTTCTCTTACCCCCCACTCCGCTTCTAAATAATTACGTAGCGATTTCTTAGGCTCCAGGTGGAGGTCACTGAGTGGGAGGCTTTCGAGCTGTGAGAGGTGAAGGGCGGCCACATGATGTTTTCATTTTGACAAGTGAGCGCTTTGCGCAGTGATGACGTTGATCTATCACCCTTGACTGATGGCTGCTGCTTTAGCGGTTGATAGTTTGAGATTATAGGGAAAGGGCAACAGGGTCTTTCTTTGAGGATTACCAGGATTTGTCTTCATTTTATTTACATTCTCCACCTCGTCATATTTTGCTTTTTATTGCCTTTTTTTCCCCCCTTAATGTTGTTATTTACAGGTGAGTTTATAAGCTGATCTCCCCCTTCCAACTTCCTGGTTTCTCCTCTAATCCTAATCTTGTTGGGAACCTGTGACCTGGCTGCCTCCCTTGAAACCGCTTTTTCTGTTCCATGTATTACTTTTATGTTTCGTGTTTATTACTCATTTTGCTAAGTAAAGGTTTTATAGTTTAGGGAAAGTGGAATCTGGGGAGGATGCAAAAAAGGTGCTGAAGGCTCTGCTTGTGACTAATGTCTTTTTTTTTTTTTCCTAGCTCTTCTGTCAAACTAGTGTATCTTCTGTTCCTTAAGCCCCCACTTTCCTCCCTTGTTTTCACTTATTCTACGTGAACCCATTCAGAGACCCCCTCCCTCTTATCTGCTTGCTGCCCAGTTATGGCAGAGAATGATGTGGACAATGAGCTCTTGGACTATGAAGATGATGAGGTGGAGACAGCAGCTGGGGGAGATGGGACTGAGGCTCCTGCCAAGAAGGATGTTAAGGGCTCCTATGTCTCCATCCATAGCTCTGGCTTTCGGGACTTCCTGCTCAAGCCAGAGTTGCTCCGGGCCATTGTTGACTGTGGCTTTGAGCATCCATCAGAAGGTAAATTTCATCTTGGGCATAGAGTACTCATTAGGAGCTGTAAAGGTCCTAGAAACAGATGTGTTCATGGTTTCTTAGTGACACATTTATATTTAGGATAGACGAGAGAACAAAGAAGTACTGGAAGTACTAGAAATCATTTTATCAGTAGAAGACTTTTGTATGGGGTGGTGTTATTATTTATAAAAGTGTGGAGTGCTGGTGATCCAGAAATACCTTAGAGGACTACTGTTTGTCTGGTAACTGTTTTTTTTTCTTGTCTGCTAGTTTTTAATTTTATCACTTTGACTTGCAATTTTAAATTTCTGGGGAGGAGCTGGCTGTACCTGTAGTTCTCCTCTTGGGCCAGGCCAACTCTAGTCTCTGGAAACCTTTATGGCTGGTTTAAAGGTGGCTGGCTTCTAGGTCAGGTACCAGTTCTTCAGTAGGGTTACATGACCCAATGCATGGCAACCTAAGTATGAGAAATACTTGTGGCAGTACTCAAATGTCATGGATTATTTAAAATGATGGAAAATAAAGACAAAGCCAGGAGCTTCAAAGGTGACTGTTGGTAGGTGTAGATGGGTTGTTAGGACTGGGGGCAGGGGTTGGTTGGACCTGGAGGAAGCTAAAGCTGGAAGGAACTAGGAGGATCTGATTTATCTTCTTTTGTTTTAGTTCAGCATGAGTGCATCCCTCAGGCCATTCTGGGAATGGATGTCCTATGCCAGGCCAAGTCAGGCATGGGAAAGACGGCAGTGTTTGTGCTGGCCACACTGCAGCAGCTGGAGCCAGTTACTGGGCAGGTACAGCTGGGGAGAATACTGGGGAGGGCATTTTGGTTAGGAATATTTGAGCAGGGTGTTTTTTAATTTTTTTTTAAGATCTTCACCTGAGACTATGTTTATTGATTTTAGTGAGGGGGGGAGGAGAGAGGGTGGGGGGGCAGAGAGAGAGAAAGAAAGAAAGGGAAACATGGATGTGAGAAAAACATCGGCTGTCTCCCGGATGTGCCCTGCCTGGGGGGTTGGACACCCAAGCAAAATTTGGCATGATACTCCAACCAACTGAGCCACCTGGCTAGGATGAAGCAGGGTGTTCTTTTTTATTTTTTTTTAATCTTAACTACATGATGCATTGTGAACCATGAGTGCTTGTTGCTAAGATGACCTCTGTCACCCTTGAGGCCATGGGGAATATTTTGTAGTAATCATGGGGATAATGATTTAGATTTCAGAATTGAAGTTGTTTGTGTTCTCCTAGGTATACTTTTGTGATAGTCACTTCCCCCCAGAGGGATAGTGAAGGGATATATTATTTTTTCCATCTACTTACCCCCCAAGGTATCTGTGCTGGTGATGTGTCACACTCGGGAGCTGGCTTTTCAGATCAGCAAGGAGTATGAGCGCTTCTCTAAATACATGCCCAATGTCAAGGTAAGCCAAGGTATAGAGACCTGGGAGTATGACGGTTTGGGGAGTTGGAGGCATTAGAGACTTAGACACCAGTAGTCTTCATGTTGCACAGATGTTAAATGCATGTATGTGAACCTCAGTTACATCTAATAGTAAGTTCTTGCAGACTTTGGTGTACAAGAGATTTACATTCTAGGGCTTAGTTGGATTTGTTTTATAATTTCAGAGGTGCTGTGTTTCAGTTTTGGAGAAGCTTTTGTTTTTCTTGGTTTGTAACACATTGTGTGAAGATGCTTGTGCAGCAGGAGACTGGGTGATTGGGCTAGAGAGGATGCTTACTACAGGACCATCCTTCTGCTTGTTGCTTCTTTATGCTGACATTTTGAATCATTTCAGTGTGCTTTGGTTGACAGTTTGAGATTTGATGGGGGGAGATATATATACATGTGTGTATATATACATACATGTATATATACATACATGTGTATACATACATACATACACACACACGGCAAGAAAAGGTCAGTAATTCCAAAATGGCTGTAGTATGATGTGAATTTTGAGAATTAAAAAAAAGATTTATTTTTAGAGAGAGGGGAAGGGAGTGAGAAAGAGAGGAAGAGAAACATCAGTGTGTGGTTGCCTCTAGCATGCCCCCAACTGGGGACCTGGCCCAGAACCCAGACACATGCCCTGACCGGGAATTGAACTGGGGACCTTTCAGTTTGCAGACCGTCACTCAGTCCACTGACCCACACCGTTCAGGGCTGATAATGGAAAGATGTCTGGAGGCTACAACAAAGTTGGCTTTAGTTATTCTCTATTATATAAACTTGATGTATGTAACTTCTTACTATCTGGCTAGAAGGGTGTGAAGAATAGTAACTTTGTTCATGTTGTTACAATTTCTTCTTGTTATATATTTTTTTAAAAAAGGAAGTAGTGCTAGCGATACCTGCATGGTAAAAATGCTTCTGTAGTCTGGAAGACCTTATAATGAAAAGATTTGTGTTCTCACATTTCTTATTCTACTTTACAGAAGATAATCAATTACTTGTTAACTTTTTTAAAGTTCTAATTATGCTTTGAAACCAAGCATTAGGCACTATTTTCTCAAATTTATCAACTTACAGACATTTTGACTTAGTTCCCTGTGTTGTTCTTTTTAAAACATCAATTTAAATTTTCTAAATATGATCTGAATGCTACGCACACATGTAGGTGTCTTTACGTATACTTCTATTTTTACGTTGTCAGCAGTGTTTACTTTGTCTTTTCTCCCAGCAGTCTTGTCTAGATCGATTCTAAAACTTGGAAGCCAGAAAAGAGTTTCCATTGTTATGACTATGGAAATAATTTATTATTGAGCTCTGTAGTGAGCTAAGATTGCACTTGCTCCTCTATAGGTCCAGCTCATCACCTTTGTGGCAATGTTCTTAGTGTCAAGATCAAATACAAATTGTCATGACATTTTCTTTTGCTTAAAATTATGCTACGGTGACTTGAAGAAGCTGGGTCAGTTCTGCAGAACGTCCTATCTCTGGACTCATCTGGTTACTTCCTTATGGTGTTGTTTAGCTTGTACTTTCCCCCCAGTATTTTCTGTAAACTGAAGTTTATATTTGAAAGCTAAACTAATTAAACATTTTTAGCAAGAATTCTTCATAGGTGATGCTGTGTACCTCCTGTTTTGTTGTAAACCTGGGTGTCCCACAGTTAGTGATTTTAGATTTACTATAGAAGTCTGTCTTATCCCCTGAGTGATGCCTCATCCCCTAACCCACCAACTAGAAAGCAACTTACGGTGTTACACTGTTCTAGGACCTACAGTTGCCTAATTGTGAGGCACTCTTTTCTCCTGGGTTGGCAGGTCGCGGTGTTTTTCGGTGGTCTGTCTATCAAGAAGGATGAAGAGGTGCTGAAGAAGAACTGCCCGCATATCGTCGTGGGGACCCCTGGCCGCATTCTTGCCCTTGCTCGAAATAAGAGCCTCAACCTCAAACATATTAAACACTTTATCTTGGATGAATGTGATAAGATGCTTGAACAGCTCGGTGAGTGGCAGTGCTGGGACTGGGCTAGTGATCTGGGAGTTTCCCTTTGGAGCCAAATGAAATTTATCTGATACAGGAGCACTGTAGGGCCAGGACAGCTCAACCTGTTACCCATGACTGATAGCTCTGGCTTCCTGGGTTGGTCTTTGTTGTGCTTGTTAAGCAGCCTTGGTACTAGATGGGAAAGTGTGATCCAGGGCAAGTATGGAGTGGGCTCAGAGCTGGAATGTAATAGGTGTGCAGTATTTGTTGGTAGTTGGGGCTTGGGGAGAGAGCAGTAGGGAGAAGGGACTCGTAAAGTGTTTTTCAAAGGTCATATCCTTGGGTGCCTCCACGGTGGGCTCTATCCCTGTTTCATAGTTGCGGACTTGGGGTTTCATCATATTTCTTGCCTGCATAAAATACACAGCTGGGATCTGATCCCAATTCTTTATTCCAAATTTATTGTTCTTTCTATTTAGCATGGATGTGGTTTCACAAGGGTGGGGAAAATAGATAGAGAAGCAAATCTTTCCTTGTAGTAAAGCAGATCTCAACTCTTGTTTTCCTGTTTCTAGCAGTCTTGGCCTCCTTGGGAAGCCCATCTCTGGTCTTTGTTTATGACACATGCTGCTTTTCTCTTATGATTTTGTTCCCTTTTTCCTCTAGACATGCGTCGGGATGTCCAGGAAATTTTTCGCATGACCCCCCATGAGAAGCAGGTCATGATGTTCAGTGCTACCTTGAGCAAAGAGATCCGTCCAGTCTGCCGCAAGTTCATGCAAGACGTAAATACCCTTCTACCTTCTCTTCTTCCACTCCCCGCCCACTGCCTTCTCCCCGTCCGTGCCCTCTTCCTTCAGACTCCCTTGTCCTTCAAGTGCCAAGAAGGGGGCACGAACCCACCTGGGAGTGACGACTCCTTGAAGAGACGAACAGAGACAGAAATAGCTAGTGTTAGGTTTTGCGCGGGCGCCAGGGAAAATCCGGAAGACTTGGTCGGGTTAACTTGAGAGCGGGTAGTGTTCGACTTTTTTTTTTTTAAATCACATCATTTTGAACCTCTTCTCCCTTTTGGGTGAGGGCAGGATTTTCTGCCTTACCACATACCCATCGTCTCCTACATACCCCCTACAGCCACGCACCCTCAAGGTGACATCGAGCATACAACTGGAGCCTTGTGCTCCCCAACACTCATTTTCTCCCGGTGGCAGGAGAGCAAGAGAGGGACAGATGGCAGGGCATGTCTAAAAGAAGAGCAAACAGCACAATGAATGCGCTCCCTCCCCACCTCCACGAGTGGGGGGCCTTTGGCACCTCAATCCCCGTCCCCTACTCCTTCCCACGCACACCTCACACCCACATGGAACTTCGGTTGATGTGAGCTGGCAGCAGAGAGAAGCTTCGTGGCGCGGCGGGAGAATTCGGACGGCACCCAGCGGTGGATGGCGGCAGCGGAGGCCGCAGGGAAACCTGACCAGGAAGCTGAGGACCAGCCAGCCTCTTTTTCCGTTCCCGGTTTTTTTGCTGAACCCAAGGCGTGCCGTGCTCCTCGTTTCTCCCTTATGTATTGGGGTGGGGAAGGGTGTCCTGAATGGGGTGGTTGGTTTTTTTCTTTTATTTCACACTCAAGGCAGAGGGGTATAGGAAAGATAAAGTGAGGTGCTCCACTTGATGTAACCTGGTTGGTTAGGGATTGGGGCTAGATGGCCTGTTGTATAAGCAGTGGAGTGTGTTGTTTACCTCCCACCTCCCTGCTCTGGTCCTTATCTGTAACTGGACTTGGGGCTACAATTAGATACGAAGGTGGCCGTGGAACTTCCTTTTGGAAAGCCTGCCTTCTGTGATCAGCATCTGGTTATCTCCTTGTGATGCACACATCCTTTTTTGAAGTCTTGGACCCTAAGTCTTGATGTTAACTATGTTCCCAGGTTAGTGAAGAGTGCTAGGAAATTTGGGCTCTGAAGTTGGATTTTGAGTCAATTTCTTTTTAATGTTACCTTCCTTCCCTTCAAGGGTTGTGTTGTTTGGGTGTTTTTTGAAGATAACTAAATCTGCAGCTCTGAGCTTACAAGTATCACTGATACCTTCTGTGTAACACTGCAGATGGTCTGATTCTTAGCTCAGAGACCAGTCTTATCTAGGAACTATTCCCTCTGGTCCAGGGCAAGTTGTTACTTTATCTGGAGTAATTTTTGCTGCTGCTTTCGTGGCATTTTGACTATATCTATTTTAGCATTCCATCTTAACATGGCTATGATCACCCTAGTTGAGTGAGTCCTCAAATGGAGCGGTCTGTATCCTTTCCTCCATATTCTTACACTTGCTCTGATGGAATTATTCTGACCTTGAGTCAGTGTTTCCTATCATTTCCCAGTTGTTTGGATCATATTTCTCCCTTTGAAAAGCTTTTTTTCCCTTCATCATCTCCATTTGAGGTAGTGGCATCTTGCCATTGGGTGGTTTCTCTATTCCTTTTCCTCCTTGCAAAGTTCCTTTCTCATGATGGTTTTCAGAACTTAGAACTTAACTGATAGGAAGGACATTAGGTCTAAGATGGAAGAGAGCATATTAAACTGTGGGTGTTTTTGGGTGGGGTGAGGTTTTTAGTTTCTCTCTTCTCCCCATCCCCCCATGGGGTGTATTGGAGATCAACTTCCTCCACCCCCCCAGGTTTAACCCCCCCGCTCTGCCCTCCCGTTCCCTACCCCTACCTCCCCCCTCCCCCTCAGCCAATGGAGATCTTCGTGGATGATGAGACGAAGCTGACGCTGCATGGGTTGCAGCAGTACTACGTGAAACTGAAGGACAACGAGAAGAACCGGAAGCTCTTTGACCTTCTGGATGTCCTTGAGTTCAACCAGGTCAGTTCAAGGTCCAGTAGGAGGATGAGCACATCTCCCAGCAGGAATCTGTATTCAGTAACCTGTTATTGAAAAAACCATGTATGTGATGTGACATAATGGCAGAAATTCTATTAACTGGAACTTATTAAAATGGAGAGAATGTCTTAGAGCCAAGTATGAGCAAGGTAGGAACTGCTTTACTGTTTTATTGTTGGCGCAGACAGGTAGTCAATAAATAACCTCAGTAAATAAAGTAATAAAGCTCAGAACAATAAAACCCTTAAAGGGTTTTTTAGTCAGGTTGTAAAAGTCCCAAAATACCTTCATTTTGTTAGGTTCCTAAATTTGTTTTTGTACTATTTATGTATTTTTTAAGATTTTATTTACTTTTTAGAGGAGAAGGAAGAAAGAGGGAGAGAAACATCAATGTATGGTACCTCTTATGCACCCTCACTGGGGACCTGGCCCACAACCCAGGCATGTGCCCTGACTGGGAATTGAACTGGTGACCCTTTGGTTCGCAGGTCAGCACTCAGTCTACTGAGCCATACCAGCCAGGGCTGTTTTTGTACTATTTTATTGAGAAGTGTTTCATCACTTTACCTGTTACATGGCTTATTTGCACTAAAAATGATCTAGGATTAGGATAAAGTTAATATTTATAGCAGAAGAGGAAATACATGATAGGAACTGAGGAATTCCTTTAGAGGAGTAATTACTGAAGACTTTTTTTCATACAATTTTACACATGCGTGGACCCACATCCCTACACATGCACAGGTGGTGATCTTTGTGAAGTCCGTGCAGCGCTGCATTGCCCTGGCCCAGCTCCTGGTGGAGCAGAACTTCCCAGCCATCGCCATCCACCGTGGGATGCCCCAGGAGGAGAGGTACGTTGGACATGGGAAAGATAATTGTGTGTCCTTGGGAGAAAATGACAAGGGACTCACATTTTTCTAATTTCCTTTCTTACAAAGGCTTTCTCGGTATCAGCAGTTTAAAGATTTTCAACGACGAATTCTTGTGGCTACCAACCTATTTGGCCGAGGCATGGACATCGAACGGGTGAACATTGCCTTTAACTATGACATGCCTGAAGATTCTGACACCTACCTGCACCGGGTACGCCCCAAACCCACAAGGACGTTCTGTGACCTTCCCCACTGACTTAATTTTCTATATCCTCACAGTGTACATCTTTATCCCTCCTTTCAGTTGTTTTCTTCTTTGGGGTCTTCCAGTCCTACTTTCTGTCTCCTTCCAGGTGGCAAGAGCAGGCAGGTTTGGCACCAAGGGTTTGGCAATCACGTTTGTGTCCGATGAGAATGATGCCAAGATCCTCAATGATGTGCAGGATCGCTTTGAGGTTAACATCAGTGAGCTGCCTGATGAGATAGACATCTCCTCTTACAGTAAGTATTAATCACAGCAATTGGCTTCTCCAGCCTTTGTGATTCTCCTTGTTCCTTAGTGTGTTTGTCTTAAATCCCATTATGTATGTAAAACCCTAGTACATTATGGACATTTCCTGGGTTGGGATGTTTAATTGACCTTTATGTGGGATCTTTTCTCTCATCAAATTATGCCTTTCCCCACCTCCAAGTCTGCCCTTTGGATCTAGACAGTAGACAGACATATGTATGTATGGGCATGTGTATTTCTGCCAACCTCACTTTTTCTGTTTCATGTCTTATTCTAACTTCCATATTTTCTCTTCAGTTGAACAGACACGATAGAAGACTCATCCACCTTTCCTGGAATGTGACAGTCTGTCCCTCTTCAAGAGATGATACCAGGCGTGGGGGTGAAGGAGACACTACTGCCACCTACCCCTGACAACCCCCAAACCCCACCCCATGCCTTCCCTCTTTTGCATCATCCCTTCTAAGCCCCATTTCCTTATTTGTCAGAACTTTTTTTTAAACAAAACTAAAAAAACACATGCGTCTATTGTGTCTGTAAGCACTCCTTCCCTTTATTGGATTTGGGGTGAGGTGGTTTTAGGTTATTTATGTGGAGCTGAGGTTGTCAGTGGGAAGAAGCATCGTGGGGCATGTTACTAAAAAGACTGCAGAGGTCATGATTCCCCCACCGCTTTCCAACTTCTGGCCCTCTGGAGGTGTCTTCCGTTTTTCGTAGTAGCTTGAGTAAGGCTGGTACATTTCCAGCGGAAGGACTCAGAGTCGCAAGTAGTGTGCAGTGTTCTAGTGCAGGAGGGTGAAGTGGGAACTGGTGGGAAGCTTAGGTTTCTCTTCCCAGGCTCTCTCGGTGTCTCCTCATCTGCTCCTTCAGCTTCTGGATCTTGAGCACCAGGGCCTGTGCTTCCCAGGCCCCCTCTTGCCCTTCCAGCAGGGCCTGGTATAGCTCCAACTGCTGTTCCAGCAGCTCCTCGGCCTGGGCCAGCTCAGCTGTGTGCCTGGGACCCTTGGGGAGAGGACGTGAGAAGAGAGGGAACTGAGGCTTGCAGGAGTTTGGAATTCTGTCTCTAGGTTTTGATTAGTTTGAGGGTAGCTTCCTTCCTAGGCATAGGCCCTTTATCCTGAAGCAGGTGGGCATGTGGAAATCACTGGCCCAGGGGCTGTAACTGGACTCATTGTATGAGGAGGAAGGAGAGGACTGCTTGCCCCTGTCCCTCCCCCTCCACCACCAGAAATAATTAACTGTTAGATGATGGGAAATTCCTGCTCTAGAACTCAGTGGACTGTGGGGTGGGGAGTGCTAGGGAAGTGAGCTCTGAGGTCTAGCAGGGTGGGGGTGGGGTACTGGCTGGGAGTTGGGACTGGGTGACAAGCTCGGGGGATCTGGATTGCTATCTGCCCTCAGTAGGCCTGTGGTGCTGGGTAACAATGAGGCCCCCCTCCCAAATCCCTCATCCCTTCCACTCCTGGTGCCACTTACCGTGGTGGGGGACCTCATCTTCCCACTGTCTCTGGAGCTGGTCTGCTCTTTTGTGTTTGCCTCAGGGCTCTGGGAACAGCAGCATCTTTGGGATCCCTCAGGGGCCAGGGGCCAGGAAGGCAGGAGAAGGAGGCGGCCACAACACCGGGAAAGCCAGGTTAGGAGGAGGACCATGGCGGGTTAGGCAGAAAGCTGCCCGAGCTGCCCAACAGCCACCAGGAACTGGCTTCTCCCGGTCTTTTGTCTCGCTTCAGTGCCTGGCCCTGCCCTCACCTTCCTCCCAGCCTGGCACTGGGCAGAATCCTGTTCCTGCTGTGAAAATGTTTCTGCCAGTTAAGGCATAACACCCAGAAGAAGCTTCTTAATGGAAAAAATTCAACTTTATTCTTCCCATCACCTCTGCCCCATACAATTTCCAGAAGACCCCACTTAAAAAAAAATTTAGCATGTAATTATGTTATTATAATTGTCCCATTTCCCCCCTTTTCATTCCCTTACACCCTGCACACCCTCTCCCACCCACATTCCCCTACTTTAGTTCATGTTCCATGTGTCAAGTTCTTTAGCTTCTGCATTTCCCATACTATTCTTGCCTTCCTCCTATTTTCTACCTACCATCTATGCTAATTATTCTCTGTCAAAGACATCACTTTCAAGTTTGTTTTCCCTGGCTTCAGCAAGGAATGAAAACCAGAGAGTAAACAATTGAGCTCAAGAACATCTGGGGTTAGAAGTACAAGAAAAGATTAACATAAGTAATGGTCTAAATACTCAAAATTCATGTTAATGAATTCAATTGCTGTATATGAGGTTTTGTTGGATGGGGAGGACTTTTTAAAAATATATATTTTATTGATTATGCCATTACAGTTGTTTTATTCCCCTCCTTCATTCCCCTCCACCCTGCACACCCCCTCCCCCACCATTCCCCCCTTTAGTTTATGAACACGTGTCTCAAGTTCTTTACAGTCTATATTTTCCATACTATTCTTGCCCTCCCCCTATCTATTTTCTACCTACCATCTATGCTACTTATTTTCTGTATCTTCTCCCCCCTTCTCCTCCCACTCCCCTGTTGCTAACCCTCCATGTGATCTTCATTTCTATGGTTCTGCTCCTAATCCAGCTGTCCTCTTAGTTTGCTTTTGTTTTAGGTGTGGTTGTTAATAACTGTGAGTTTGCTGTCCTTTCAATGTTCATCTTTTTTATCTTCTTTTTCTTAGGTAAGTCCCTTTAACATTTCATATAATAAGGGCTTGGTGATGATGAACTCCTTGAATTTGGTCTTATCTGAGAAGCACTTTTATCTGTCCTTCCATTCTAAATGAAAGCTTAGCTGGATAGATCAATCTTGGTTGTAGGTCTTTGGATTTCATGACTTGGAATACTTCTTTCCAGCCCCTTCTTGCCTGTAAGGTCTCTTTTGAGACATCTGCTGACAGTCTGATGGGGACTCCTTTGTAGGTGACTGTCCCCTTATCTCTTGCTGCTTCTAGGATTCTCTTCTTCATTTTAATCTTGGCTAATGTAATGATGATGTGCCTTGGTGTGTTTCTTGGGTCCAACTTCTTTGGGACTCTGAGCTTCCTGGATTTCCTGGAAGTCTATTTCCTTTGCCAGATTGGGGAAATTCTCCTTCATTATTTGTTCAAATAAGTTTTCCACTGGTGGCTGTTCCTTTCCCCCTTCTGGTACCCCTATAATTCGGATGTTGGAGCGTTTAAAGATGTCCTGGAGGTTCCTAAGACTCTCCTCATTTTTTTGAATTCTTGCTTCTTGACTCTTTTCTGTTTGGCCATTATTTGCTTTCTTCTGGTCCACTCCATTGATTTGAGTCCCAGTTTCCTTTTCATTGCTATTGGTTTCCTGTGCAATTCCATTCATTTCAATTAGTTTCACCTTCATATGTTTCTCTAATTTGTGGCTATAATCAACCAGTTCTGTGAGGATCCTGATCACCAGCGTTTTAAACTGTGCATCTGAGAGTTTTGCTATTTCTTCATCGCTTAGATTTATAGGCTCTGGGACTCTGAGTTGTTCTTGAGCCATGTTTTGATCTGTTTGTGCCTGTTACATATGAGGAGCAGAGCCTTAGGTGTTCACCAGGGCGGGGCCACCCAGGTTGCTGGTTTGTGATGCTGTATGTGGGGGCGGGGTCAGAGAAGGACAATGGCGGTCCCCTCTGCTGCTTCCTGCCACTGGGACCTGCACTGTCTGTCTCACTGCTTGCTCCTTTACTAGTTTATTTGCACGCTAATGTGTGACCACGGTGAGCCCTCAGTGGGTCTGCCCAGTACTCCACACCTGGGATCCGCCCACGGCTGCCGCCGTGCCTGGGTCAATCCAGTGGATCTTTCCTGCCCGACCCCTCTCTGCTGCTGGCTCTGCCCCTCTTACCGGTTTGGCTGAAGGGTTCGTTGTTGTCAGACTTCTGTATAGTTCAATTTTCTGTGGTTTGGCTGCATTTTTGTTGCTAAAACTTTGTTGTTTTTAAACTTGGTTGTGTGAGAAGGCACAGTGCTTCCACCTATGCCTCCATCTTGCCGGGAGTCAGGATGAGGAGGACTTTGGGCATACCAAATAGTCACACAAATCATTACTTTTTTGAGACTGGATACTTCTACAGTTTAATTGCAAACAATTTTTATAACATTTTTAACCAAATTATATCTTGACAACTTTCCATAGAAAACCCAGGAAAAAAGTGAACTGTTCACTGTGGAAGGCCTTAAATTGCATTATTACATGAGTAGAAGATAACTGAAAAGACTAATGCAACATTAGGTTCAAATCTATAGCTCTTGTAGCTACTTAAAATATGGTTTTTGAAACTAAACATTTCCAGTAAGCATAGAAACAGGTAAAATGAAATTTGCTATGAAAGCCCTTATGTTTTATGTAAAAACTAGGACACATGAGACATGACATTTTATCTACAACTTCTGTTTATTTTACTGATGCTGTAGTTTCAAAATTCATTCACCACCATCATCTTCAGACTCAAGATTCTTCAGCATTTTTGAGCCACCACACAAACTTTTTCATTTGTACAAGGAAAAGACTTTTCCCCTTTGCAACATGTGCATGTTTATACCACTTCAGAATGGGCTCCTTACTCAGGACTTCAGGTTTGTAAAAAAGCACCACTTTTCTGGAAGGTTTTCATGAAATGACTGTTATAGAAATACTCCTGAATCTTTAGCAACAGAATCAGCTCAGACGGACCTTGAGTAGTAAAGGCAGCAAGGAGAGGGCTGTATGGCTTCAAGTGCTTGATGGCTTGCTGTGCAAGAAGCAGGCTCCTTTATTTGTTCCATTTCATGGTGCTCATTACACTGGACCAGACTATTCCAATGACAATGGGTTTAGGGATTTTTTTTATCCCCTAAACATACAAAATTATATCCTTAAATGGATTACCACAGGACATCTGTTCTTGAAGTTCTTTCTGGAGTTCCTATGGTTTGTTGATTCTGAACATATTCTGAAAGCTCTTTTAAGCCCGCCTCACTAAAGTACTTTGTGAATGCTCAATGCTTTGTTTATTGGCAGGAAAATGTTCCATCAGTCTGTTATCCACGCTGACTTTCTGAAGACTTGCAGCTACTGCACTGAATCTTTTTCATTTATCCATGATTTAAAGAGCTTTACAGCAAAGGCTGCTGAAACCTTTAACCAAATTCTCATTATAAAGGCTATTAGGAATGGGTGCATTAAGTGTTCCATTAGCCAGAAGAACACCAGTCAACATAGCCAGCTTGTTCCTTTCCAACTCTGAAAAATCCTTTAAGAATAGCAGCCCTGGCTGGTGTGGCTCACTGGGTTGAGCATTTGCTTGTGAACCACAAGGTTGCTGATTCAATTCCTAGTCAGGGCATGTGTCTGGTTTGTGGACCAGGTCCCTTGCTGGGGGCGTGCAAGTTAAAAAGCATCAATCAACTGATTGATGTTTTTCTCACACATCTATGTTTCTCTTCCTCTCTTGCTCCCTCCCTCTCTCTAAAAGTAAATAAAGAAAATATTTTTTTAAAAAGCCGGATGATGCAGGAGGCAGGTGATGCTGGGAAGTGAAAGAGGCCATGACAGGATGACAGATGAACTCAAGAAGCAGGTGAGCAAGCTGTTGCAGCTGTACAAAGAAGCACAGGCTGAGCTGGAGGATTGCAAGAAAAGGAAGTCTAGGTATGTACTAGCTGACTCTACCCATGAGGCTGAGGCTTGTTGCAGGAGGAACTGACAACGGGTCAGTTCCAGCAGTCGAGGGCATCCAGGGCAGAGGCAGAAGTGGTGCTATCCAAAATAAAGCCTCAGTCCTCAAACCACTGAATGAGTTGACTCAGCTCAAACAGCTGGTGGATGCCCAGAAACAGACCTCTCTCTGCATCACAGAACATGTGCAGGTGGTGAACACGCTGTGGGTGATCATGAGGGGAAGTCAGCTGCCTTAATGAGCACCTTGCCAGCAAGGAGGTGGGGATGGTCAAACTAGAGAAGCACTTGAGGCAGGGAGCCAAGGCCTGCCTGTCAAAAACCCCATCATCTTCAGAAAGTGAAGTGAGTGTGTTGGCATCAAAATGAAAGGAAGAAAGCAGGCCCATTCAATGGTTGCCCAGAATAGAAGGGAGATCTCACAGATGAAAAAGGATCTATGCAGACTCTCTTGAAATCCAAGTAAATGAACTTCTGTAGAAGTCCCAGGTACTCTCCAGGAGTGTTTGCAGAAATGAAGGGATATTTGGAGAACTCTTCAAAACTGGAGGAGATCAAAGACAAGCTGAAGGAGGCCTGGACAGCTGGTTACAGCTTTCCTCAGCAAGCTCCTGCAGGAGGAGTCAGCAACTAGAGGTGCACAGCAGGGCAAAGAGCCCAGAACCAGCTGGCTGAATACAAACCCGCCAGGAGGTCATGTCAGCTCACAGGACACATCTGTGTTCTGTGCAGGGCCAGGTAGATGAAGATTCCAGAAAGTGCTGAAGCCAATTTGTACCATGTGGAAAAACCAGAAGAAGTCGAGTGGATTCCTTGGCAGGACATTGCTCCTTGTTGTTCATCTTTGTGTTAGATCCGGAGTTTTTGGTGATCATCATGGCTCTTGTTCTTATCTGTATCCTAGCCCAGCTTCTTCTCATCCAAAGGCTTCTTTCTGAGGATTGGTCCCAGGAGAAGACTGCTCTTCAGAACTGCTTAGAGACTTTAAAGCAGCAGAGGTGAAGGTGCTGTCACCTTTCCAGATTCCTGAGTGAGAATC